GGGCGGGCGCTGCAGGCCGGGGGAGAGGCGCTGCCCCGAGCTGTCACGCTTGGAGAAAGAAATCTGATCTCCTGCCTCTGGAGCTTTTCGGAAATTAATGTCTTTTTGGATCAGAGTACGTGTTCTGGAAAAGTAGATGAGCCCTTATGGCGAGGGGAAGTAACTCGCGAGACTTGTTGGTTGGTTGTTTTGAGGGTTAACTGTCTTCACAGTTATAAAAAAAGTCGTGTCGTTTTAGTCAGAGTTTATTACTTGTGAGCATCCATACCCTGGGGTTTTTTTGTGCTTTTTTTCAGGTAAGAATTGAAAAGAAACGAAGGTGAAAGGTGCAGGAAGCATGTCTCTTGACAGCAAGAGCTTATTCTAAATGCCGTGCACAGGGGTAGAGAAGCAGCCAGTACTGGCTGTTCTGAGAGCTTAGGAAGTTTGGGTGAAAAATATTTCTTAATGAAATAATTATGTGACCATATAATCTGCAAGTACAATTACTAAACGTGTCATACAGTTTCTTTTTTTAAAGCAATTCCCTCCCCTCCCACCCTTGCTGCAGTTCATACGGATGGGAATTGACGTTTTGCCAGTTCTCCTGATGTCATTTTAGTATTATCATGGCACAGAATAAATGAAATCTGTCTACTTACACATGCTGATTTTAAGTTTTATGTCCTGTTTTCTTGAACAAGTAGGAGGGGAAGGGAAGGAATAAAAAGGAACACGGTAAACGTTGCTTTAGATGATAAAGTAGGTACACAATATGCAGATAGGTAGTTACTTACGATACAATACATATGCAAATAGATGTTTTGAATATCTTGAAGACAGAGACATGCATTATTAACTCTGTTTGGGCATGGATCTAATAAAAATATAATGTTCAAGCTTGACTTATTTTCTTGAATATCTATATGCTTTCTATTGCCTGGTATATTTGGTTAAGTTGAAGTTTACCTGTCTGACTCTGTAGTTATTCAGAGTTGCTTTTGTGAAAACTTCCAGTTTAAAAGAGAAAAAAAAAAAAGATTATGAGAAACTAAAATCTTGAAAGTAAAAGTATATAAAATATATTTTTTACAGGATGCTTTCAGACAGTAGTTGAGTATATAGCAGCAGTATGTTTAATGTAATTTCATGTTGAATGATACAGTGTCTTGGGAATGCAAATATGTCCAAGATTTAAAGGTGGAAGAGCTGATAGATCTGTGCTATTTAACATTTTTTAAAAATAGTATTTAGAAAATACTCTGTTTTCCAAAAAACCATGAAAAATATGTTGTTTGCACCTTGTAACTTTGGGGGCATATGGTTTATCCTTGGGTTTTCAAATGTTTACAGCATGTTCTGACTTTCCCTTTTGCTCTGTGCACGTGCCCATGAGCAATGTCTCCAAGCTTAGTTTTGAATCTCCTACTTTGGTAGTAATAATTGCAGGGCTCTAGAAATGCACAAAATGCATTCAGACACATTGCCAAACTGAAAATAGATTATTTTATTTTGAATTGAAGTGGTTTTATAGTGGCAAGCTTTACCTCGGTATGCTTGTGCCGTCATGTGAAGTCAGTTGAAGTTAACGGTTCGCTCTGAGTTTAGTGCTGTCACCTCCGAGACAGTTCACTGCGTAACTGGGGACTGTGGTAGCACTCTTTTCAGATAGAAATGTATTGTTTCTTTTTTTTTTAATTGTGATTGGCCATGATCTGTTCACTTGATACAGTAGATGATAAAATGGATTACTATTCAGTAAGATATTTGCTTACATACTGGTATATTTGCTGAACTTAGCAGTGTGTGCATCACATTCAAATTGTCAGTCTTTTGCTTAGAATATGTAAGAATTTTTTATTTTTTTCTTTATCTTTCGTTCTTTTTCAGTATAGTAGACCCTTTTTGCTTATTTCATAAAGTTTGCACTTGCGCATATTTTAAGAAGATCAACTCAGGCAGAAAGATGTAAGACATAAAATGTCTAGCTATTTTCTAAGAGGCATTTGGCTACTTTTCCTGGTTATTTAGCTGTATTAAAGGTATACTGAATCAACAGTGCTGTGGCATTAGTCGTCTTAGCACTCTCCAAGGCCTGGAGTTGTGCGCTTTCTTCACACCAATTGAATTGCCTGTGTAGTTCAACTGTAACTGTTTTGTCATTGTTTTTTAAGCAATATGCTCTTTTGAGCAGTATGACAAGAGTGCAGAATGCTAGAATATTCATTGTGTTCCTCATGCTAGATAGAAAATATACTGCAAATATTCCTTTCCTTACACCATCTCTCAGAATAGGTTTGGTACCATTCCAATACAGTGATTTGGAAACAGTTCTAGAGTTTATAAATATTATTGTAAATAGAGGTAAGAAACACAGATGTTACAGTCAGTGAGCTTTTGGGAAGGCTTCTCACAGTGCTTCCTTCTACATGTGGTAATTTTGCTCTTGGTGGCTATGCAGTACTGGATAGGTAATGAGACCAACTTTTAAATTCTTCAGTATGACAAGTTGTTTCAGCTGTTCAGAACAGTTTTTTTCATTATTCTTATATAACCTAATGGACTAAATAAAACTTATCAGTGCCTGGAACCTTACCCTCTTTTAGATTTCTTTTATCCTTTATCAGTGTGCAAAACTAATGAGATTAAAGATTTAGGACAAATCAGATGGGAGAGTTTATTTTTGGAATTGATTGTCCCGTATTGCCACTAGGAGTTGTAAATACGTTGTCCTACTTCTGCCTACTTTGTAACAATATTATAATTTTATATTATGCATCAAAAAATAACATTAAAAGTTTAAGGGAATACGTTTTAAGGAATACATCAAGCAGATGCATGCTAACTTAATTTAAGGAATACAATTACTTGGATTTATCTGATGGAATTTTGACATTTTTTCTCTTCATCTTACTTCTATTAAGCATTTATCTGCAGTCTCTCTGGACACGTTATTTTATGTTAACCTATGTAGTATCTTATTCTGCTAGTCTTTGTGAGGTGTTGTTTTTTTGGTTTTGGGGTTTTTTTCCAAATTATTCGATCCTCTTCCTGAAAGTCTTTTCTAATATGTTTTTATCATTAGCCTATTATCTACTTCATACACTCTGTAGGCTTTAGAAAGCAACTGAATTAGCCTCAGTAAAACTGCTGTACAGTCTGAGTTTAGATACTGGATGTGATGGGATTGCTTAGGAACCTGCATAAGCAATTGTATTGCTTAAGTTGTGCGGGTAATATTGGAGGGATTTGAGGGTCCTAATTTTCTTCTCAGTTTCGTGCTTCCTTTAAGCGTGGCATATAACATGGATTTTTTATCTGTAGGCTTGGTTTTGCAAAACTTCTCCTCCAGTGGAGTGGGTGAAAATGCTGAGTGGAGATTAGGATGAGTAGGCTTGTATACAGTCATTCTTTTTGGTTTTGTCTTTCTTTTTTCCATGGTTACTTAGTATATAGCTTTGCAGTATTTTTAGTTCTGATAAGACTATCCTAACAAAGAATATTTGAAGTCTGAGTGTGCCTTAACTTCGGTGCAGTTCCATTGTCATGAATTTGATTCGCTTTAATTTTTATTACAAGGTTGTCTAGGAGCAGCAATATACAATAAATTGCACAAATAAGATGCTAAAATTTCTGCACTGAAGGGCTTTCAGTTAAATAGGCAAGATGCACAACTAATGGAAGAGAGGTAATCAGCTGTTCTCAGTACACGTTTTGTTAACAGATGAGTGGCTTGTCTGATTGCAAGTCAATGCTGCCTGATATCCACAATCTTACAATTATTGCAGAATTGTAGCCTCTGCTATTTTATTGGTACAGGAGGTAGTGATATGCTCTTGGCTACAACTCCAGAAACACTGCATGTATTTTGTGTTTTGTGGGGTTTTTTGTTGGGTTTTTTCATTGTTGTTTTTTGTGATTTTTGTTTGTTTGTTTTGAAGAAGCTTGATAATTTTTAAGACTTCTTGTGATAGTAAGTTAAGAACAGAATTGATTACATGATTTGGTCCTTATTTTAAAGTATACATGTATTTTGCAGTGTTTGTACTTTTTTGCCTAACGATTCCTTTATCCTGTTCATTTTTTGATGTTTTCTAATTTTAATTTTATAATTCACTAACAATAAGCTTGTGCTAGTGTGTAGTGAAGGGCCATTGCAGTTAAAAAAAGCAACCCCAAAATACTTTAACCAAGTTAGAAAAAAAGATTAGAGAAATATCTTCAGTCTTATAATCTGTAATCTTTGGATTTTCTCTCTCATGAAACATAAGTAATCTCTGCCATAGATGGGTTTCCTGAGTCAGGTTTTTTGTTGACCCAGCAAACATCTTAAGGCTTGTAGTTCTGAGGGAGAAGAATGTTACTTAACTACTGTCTTAAGCAACTGTAATTGAGCTTTAAATTTTTGAGGTTCTGATGTAGAGGCAATGTTCTGTGTCTTTTCTATAACCTTAGAAATGATGGCGGATGATTTAGAAAAATTTATTGAAGAACAGAAGGCCAAGTTGGCCCAAGATAAAGCAGAACTTGAAAATGATCCACCTTACATGGAAATGAGGGTAAGAGTCCTATTGCTAGGGTCTTGATTTAAGCTTGCTTTTACTGTGCTCTTAAAACTGTATTTGTTGTTAAAGTATATATTAAAGATTCATCTATTCAAACTAATTTCTAATGTAAATACTTCATGTCTGTATTTATGTAGATTTTTAAAAACCTGTTTGCCGCCAGGCATACACAGTAACATTTGTATTTTACAAGTGGGAAAACTCTTGTAAACGGTTATCATTGTTCCTTCCCCCCTCCCTAGGGAAGCTGACTAGCAGGGATCTGCTCTCTGCCCGCTCCAGAGCATGGGTGTTGGGATGGGGATGGAAGGTATAAATATCCTCGGAATTTCTTCTGCAGAAACTAGGAAATATAAAAAGCAAATTACTTAATCCAATCAATTAAATAAAATCTGTTCTTATCACAATTTTCCTATTAGAAATTTTAGTACCTAATTCTAAAGCTATAAAGATTTTATAATTTGCAGATCACCTTTAAGTTGTTTAATAGTATAGTGCCAGTACCTGGCAAAAAGCTGTATCTAAATAATTAAAGCTAGCTAAGTGTTATGGTAACTAAATGTAGTCCTCAGTAAAAAAAGGAGTTTTGATTTGTCTGTTGTTCGACTTACAAAGCCCCAACCAGCTTGAGCTTTTAAGAGCAATTATAATATTGAGTTTTCACTCCCTTTTTTGTTTCATCAGAAGGTTATGAGAATTCATCTTTCCCCTTCTGTGGATAATATAAGTATTTTTACCTAGTCATAACAATTCTCACCAAAAAAATTTATTAATTCACTCCAGAAAGTTAATTCTTAGAGAGCTATGAGGAGTTGGGCTTCCTTTTTTTTTTTTTTTGCTTCCTCTGCTCAGAGCAAGTTTAAAGAGAAGGAGAGTGTTTCCAGCTTATAGTTTGAAAAAGTCCTAAGCTGTATGGTGAAAGTTACAGGGAACAGGTGTGTTAAACTTGCCCTGTAACACCCTGTAATTTTTTCATTGTTTTAAGAAGGGTGCAGTATGTCAAATCGGCTCACATAAAAAAAACAGAGAGGGTATACGTAAACTATTTTAATTGTTGATTATGATAAGTGTTTTATTACATAGATCACAATATATATTGTCAACCTATTTCATGACATGAAATATATTGAATATATTGAAATATTTTGAACTAATAATTCCTGTGTTGCAGAGGAGAACTACTTTTTTGGTAGTATTAGTGAAATGTATAATTTACTTAATGTGTTAATCCAGATCACTTTCAATCTCTCCAGTGCTAAAAATTGTGTTAATAATGTTGTTCTTGTATGTGATATTTCTTTTACTGTGTGATGCAGTGAAGTGTTTTGTTTTGTTTTCAGATTAAGGAATCAGAGAAGCTTTCTGAGACTAGCAAAATGTTAATCTCCATGGCTAAAGAAAATATACCTCCAAATAGTCAACAGAACTATCCTTCAGGTATGGCATATTTTTTTTAATATGTCTTCTAGATTTAAGTAGCGTTCAATTGACGCTGTGTAAGCACCGCTCAGCAATAATGAAAACATCCCCGTATTATCAACACTGTTTTGAGCACAAATCCAAAACATAGCCCCATACGAGCCGTTATGAATAAAATTAACTCTATCCCAGCCAAACCCAGCACATTCCATAATAATAATTTGGGTGCTAAACACATTTGGCTATCAGTGGATGGTTGTTGATATTGTTGGCTGGTTCTGCTTTAAAGCAATGTAATTTCCTTTGGATTAAATTCGACAGGGACTTGTTCCTTGGTAGCTGCTAAGTATGTTCTGTAGTTCTAGCAGTAGTGTTGACAATCAGGCTGAATTAAGTTAGTTATTTGTCAGTATATTAAATGCATGCAAACTTTTCCGTAAAAATGTATTTAAAATCTTAACTTTTTTCTAAAAAAAAAAAGTGGCAATGTGATTGTGTGTGATTAACAGAATGTGAAATGGCAAATAAATACAACAAATACAGAATAAACAAAAGCAGGAAACCAATGAAAAGGCAAGTATATCTCTTATTCCGATGGAAAAATTCAGACAAATTGTGCATGAAGTTAGGATGAATGTATGTTAACTGGAGTATTTTTGCCCTGCTAGGCTCTCCTAAAGTAAGTTTTTGAAGTAGGTGGTTTTCAAATATTGCCTAAGTCCCTATCCATAATTGTTATCTCAGTGCTTTTCTGGTGGCCAAAAAAAAGGTCATCTGTAATAAAATCAACTTTAAACCCTCTTTTGTTTGAATACTTCACGTATTTGAATCAAAGCACTTGATTCTCACTGATGGTTTTTTTCTGTACTGAATTTTACTGGTTTCTGTGAAGTTACTGAATAAATCTTCACTCTGACATATTAGTTGCTTTTGAATTTTTCTTGGTTTCCTATAGTTAATCCAACAGTAATTTCATGTGAAAATAAAAGGCAAGAGCAAGTAGCTGAAACAAACCTTTTCCTCTTCTGTATTCTATTTCTCTTTACACTTACCCCTTTTTTGAGGGTTGAAATGGTACATTATTTTTTAACAGAACTCACACTCACCTTATGTGCCAAATCAGGAGAAAAACAACTTGCAGGTTGTAGAAGAAGCTCCCATGCAGATTTTGGTTGGTAGTTGAACTCTGCAAGCTGTTTAAAAATAGTGTATGACATATTTAATCGGCTATTAGGTCCTTTGGTTCTGCAGAACAGCAGGCTGACTCCTGTTTTGGCTCGTGAAGATACATTCTGACTTAGCTGAAACTATCTCAAGCCAAGCCAACTTAAGTGTATTTTTACTAAGTATATTTCAACCTTTTGTTTCAGTAGCAGAGTGATTCCCAAGTTAGCAATTTTCAGCATTTATATAATGTCATTTTTACTGTACAGACACTGATTAATGCCCTAAACATTTAAAATACTGGAGTCAAAGTACCATGCAATAAATTGGGATTGATGTAACAGTAAATCTTGAATATCCCTGTCTTCCCTCTTACTCCTTGCTACTCATTTTACATCAACCACAAGATGTAGAAATGCTCTCAGAGAAACCATAGGAAATTAAAAAAAACCCAAGGAGTTGCAATCTATGTCTCTTGTTGTGTGGTTTTATGGAATTCACTAGCTCTCTGTGGAGAGTGGGCAAAGTGGCTGCAGAGGTGGGCTTCTGGGGCAGAGGATATTTCTTATAAAGAGCTTTAAAATGTATTTGGGGAACAACAAACAACTTGCATAACATTATATTTTAAGAGTGCAGCTGGTATGAGACCTGACAGTAATATTGGAAAAGTACTAAATGTGTGTTTCGGGTCTACTACAATTAAAAACACTGAGGTGGAAAGAAAAAATGGTTATTATTATCATATGGTCAGACTCTTTCTAGCTGTCTGGAAGCCAGCATATTTTTCATATGCTTCTTGCTAAACAAATAGCTTGTTGCTTTCTAGTTGTGAAGTATGTTTTCTATTGTGTGATAAGCACAGCTTAAAATACCAGAGTAATTTAGAAACTAACATGTCAAAGGAGTTTTCCTTTGAAACGTACGATGACAACAATATTTAGGTTATTTTATACTATTTGTCAAACTATCCATATAAATTCAGTTTATGTTGCATTTTTTTTCTAGAGGGGAGAAACAGCACAAGGACTAGAGGAAAACTAACATCCAAAAACCAATCTGTTTTTCTATGTTTTCCACCCAACTACTGATACAGAGGAAGTGGTTTTTATTTCAGCTGTTTTGTAATTACTGGTTGCATGGTTCTTTTTTTTTTTTTTTTATTGCTGTTGTCTAATAAAAATCCAGATGTAGCTTCTGCAAGATGTGCTTTGTATTGATACAGAACAGTAGAATAATACTATTTAATGGCATTAAACTTTCAGGTGACTATGGCTTGAGTTTACCTCTTGGAGAAGAATATGAACGAAAAAAACATAAACTCAAAGAGGAACTTCGACAAGATTATAGGCGATATCTTTCTCAGGTAAAGCTTCTTGTCTGGTTGGCTGAGTTTAGTGAGTCTTTTAAAATTACTCTCTGATTTTAATTGAATGAAAATTAATAAAATCTGTGGAAAATATTTATAAGAAGGCGTTCATTATGAGCAATGGCTGATTTTGAAGACTCGACTAAAAGTAATTTCAAAATGTCACTGCTAGGAAAGGTTATATATTTTAGGCTTCTATAGATCTCATTGCTGTGAGACTACATATGCTTAGTACATTTTATTCTGAATGCTTTTATTTATTTGTCTCTATTTCTTTGTTTCTTCTTAAGAATTTAAAATATCATCTGTTACTTCCTTAAGTACTTATATATTCTATGGTCTGTAATTCAGGTAAGAATATTCCTATAATTAGTGTGACTCCATTTGACAGTTTCTTTTCAATTTTAGAAATAAAAAAACTTCGATGTTCTGCTTAGCATGATTTATTAAATGTCACAGTAAATTTAAAATTGAAATGGTATGTATGAAATATCATAATCTGGGGAATATTCTCTATCCCTTCTTTGTCAAACAGAAAAAAAATCAGGAACCAAATAATTTCTGTTGTCTGAAAATGCTGATTATCAGTGTCTTTAGTTCTTAAAAATGAAAGAACGGATTGGCTTTAAGTAAAGAATTCTTCTTTGTTAAGTCAAATATTTTTGAATGACTCTTTTTGAATAGTATTTTTTCCCTGACTTTTAGGGTATTTCACAGGCAAAAAGAAAGGTAGGGTGCCTGCAATATAAATTTTTTTTTTCTTCAAATTAGTTTCTTTTTGCTTTGTTTGAAAGCTTTGTGCTCTTTGAATTTAAAAAAAAATCATTATTTTTTTGTGCTTTGTGTGTTTGTGCATGCTGTAGTGATTAGTTGTGATTAGCAGTATTGTTTGCTTTGTGCAAAATGATTGCTTATATTTATTATTTTCCATTAACAAGATTTTAAAACACTTGTTGATTTCTTTTTTCCTTTGCAATTGCTATTATTGCTGTCTAATGCTGACTCTAAGTTTTTCTTCTAGTAGACATTTGCTTCAAGGCTTATCAGTTACATAGATGTTAGGAGTTCAGATTTCTTTTTTCTTGTTATACATACTTGATAAAGCTGGAATAAAATCATAAACTCTGAAATACTATAATACGTCATCGGAACCAGAGTCAGGGCTTTTTTCTTCCCTGTCACTGTGAAATCTCATCGGTGGTGCTTAGGAAAGCAGTAGAGCCAGTTATTCAGCACCTAGTGGCCAGAATGCAAGAATACAAGTATTGTGAGGAAAAAATAATACCAGAAGCACGTTTTTGCAAATTTTGTTCAATTACAGTAATTTTTAATTATTTATGTCATTATACTGTCATGTATATATAATTTTCAAATTTAACACTGTCCATTCAGGTTGTTGAAATTAAGCAACTTCAGTAAAGGACTGGGAGGCCTGCTGTTTTTTTCTGGGGCTTTGAATAACATGCATATGATACAAATTAACTATATAAGCATGCACTAGATAGAATTCCTGAATAACAATAGCAACAGCAGAATTAACTGGCTGCTTAACCTCTAACAAAGATGATACATAACTGTTGCTTCTTGTTTAACCTTAAACTTCAGATTATTTTCAAAGTTAGAATATTGTGTTAAAACTTAATGTTTCATAATTCTCACCAAAGTACCCAAATAATATAATTTTTACATTAACTTCTAGTGTTTTATTCTGAATTGAAGTTCAGTTTTACAAATTCAGGTTTACAAAGTTTGTGTTTTTTAAATGTAGCACGTTAGCTATATTAAGCTTGTAAGTCCTGAGGAAGAGATAGGATAGATAACAAGCTCTAATTTCTTTGCCCTACATAAAGAGATAGTGTAAATTTTAGCAGCTCTCATAGTGATAATATTTTAGTTAATAACTAGTTTAGTCTTGCTTATGTAGAAAATGCAGTTTCCATATCAGCTTCTGATTTTTGGCACATACATTTTTAAGATCAGAGGTAATCTCTACAGATGTCTTCAAAGTGTGAAAAGAAATTACTTAATAATGAGGATTACGATTTATTTACTTTTTCTAGTAAAAATAACGTAGTTCTCCATATTATTCTGGTTGTCTCAGTGCTTGAATATTTGCATGGTTATTAAATCACTTAAATCTTTTAATGTGTAGTTGTGAAATGTAATTCATAATGATGTGGTTTTGTACTGGAACAGGTAGAGCTCTTACCTGTTGACATGCCTGTAAGCTTTTAAGCTACATTATGACATAGCTAATGGAAGGAAACAATGCTAGTGAAATACTGTATCTAACCCATTCCCCTCATCAGCCCATGCCACACAAATAGGTGCTCTTTTTATTAAAGATAATCAGATTTATAAAACATAGGTGATTGACTGAATGGCCTGCAGATGCTTTTATTAAATGAGTGATGTATGAAGAAGCCACTAGATGTGGAAATTAAGGACCTGTTCCAGCATTGGTGTTTGATTTGAAAGGCTGATACTTTGACTTGCTGTGTAGCCCAGTTCCCAAGCTGCATCCCAGGTAGCTACATGGAGCAACAACATAGTGTTTTCAATGGAAAGTTCTGTTCTGAAAGTGACTGATGGTCTGTAAGGAATTACAAGATTTGATGATGGGTCATTGTCCTGAAAGTTTGGGGACTGCTGTTGTAGAAAACAGTGTTAAGATGCAGAGTGGTGACTGTGATAGTGTTAGCATGGATTCCATCTGTTAAAATAAGAGGTAGACATACGTTTTTCTGCACTTAGAAAAAGCAGTTTTTCATCTTAGGTAGGGTAGCGTCTTGGAAAGTTCCTCTTATGCTTGTACAGATGCTTGTGCTTAACGCTACTTGCTTACAGGAGAATTGAGTAATGGTGGGGTTTTTGTGAAGAAATTTTTTTTTTTTTAATATACAGAGACTAACTTACGTAATCCTTGAAGTAGTGCAACAGGGAAGAAGTGACAAATACTTTCAAACTCCATCTTAAAGCTTGACAAATCCCTTTACTTTCTGCATTCCTTGACTTCACTTCATTCATGTGTTCCAAGAACACCCTGCATTTTCAAAATGTGAAGGTTGTCTTCCATTTTTATTTCATTAAATTGATCGGATTTATTTCAGAAAATATAATTCCTAGCAACTATTTAGGAAGTAAGATTTGGTATTTTAAAATATATTGAATTTTTTTTTTTTTTTTTTTTTTAAATGTAGAAAAACTATCTGACTACTGGTGAAGTAGATCCATATACTCAGGGATTATCTCTTCCTATTGATGAGCGAAGATCTGCCAAGGTAAATATCTGGAAATGAAACTTGAAAATGAACCTGGAATTTTAAACTGTTGTGGAATAATTATTTCCACTTAAGTTTTTTTTTTGTTTGGTTGGGGTTTTTTTTTTACACTGTTTACAAGTGAACATTTTTGGAGGTGGTCGTTAGAATAATTTTCAGAAAAGTGAAGTCTTTAAATTTTGTTTTTGTTGTAAAATTTTTATTCCTAGGTTACCTGTGCTCTTAAATTTTAGATAATTAGATGTGTAATTCTATACTGATACTAGTTTGAGGTTTGCTACTTCTAATTCACATCTGCAGGGCGCTTGGTGTGTTCAAAAGCTCTAGTGGTTGTGCTTGGGTTTTGTTCAGAAATAAATATTGATCTAATAAAGAACATTGTTTTCCTCTTAATTATATATATACTTTTCCAATTTATTACTCTTCTTACTGCGGCCTGAAGATAATTTTAAAAATATTTGCTTGTAGTTTTTTCTACAGTGATACTCTTATCAGTTCCTATCAAAACTGAAGGAAGTGTGCTTTCTGCTGTACACAATTTGTTTTGATGTCTTTGTGTACGCTTTAACCTACCTGCTTATCCTCATGTGATTTTTTTTTTTTTTTTGAACAGATAAATCCAGGAATCTAAATAAAAGCTGATCTGGTATTTCACATATTGCCTGCTATTAATATAGGAATCTTCCCAATTTCCAATCTTTCTTTGAGAATACAGATACTAATGTGTTTTGTGAAAGGAATGCACATTCTCTCTCTGCGTTTAGCCCCTTTGATCTCCCTGAGGTTTCTTACCAGTTTATGGTCTTGCTTTCATATGTTGGAGAAAGATACCAGCCATAGCATTCTCTCTGCTATTGGAGGTTGATGGGAGTTAGAGTATGAAGATGCAACATGCATATGTGCATTTTCTTAACCTCTGATCCATTCCTCTGATGCATAGTATGATTCTGTGAAAGCCTAAACCAGTCTTACAGGGGTCACCTCTCCTCCTGCCCTCACACTGCTGGCTTTATATTCCCAGTTCCTTTCTTCCTTGTAAATTGATCCAGGAAGTTGAATTAGCAGAAACATTGTAATTTAGCAAATATTTTTGCTGATTCAACGAACACCAACTGGTTAGTTGTTAGGATTGGTCAAACCCCGGTGGAGATGCAAGGCAGAAAGAGAAACTGTGTTGCTGGAGGAGGACTGGATTGTTGCACCCTTGGGGGTTTTATTTGTTTTGGTTTTTTTAACCTATGCTGCCTTGGAGTTGCATTGTTGCTCTGTGGGGCTATGCTGTCTCTATAACCTGGCGCAAGACTTCTGCTATGGAATGTGTTGGTCTTGCCCTTGCTGTGCTTGCTTATGCTTTCTGCCTCTCTCGTGCTGGCAATAATGTTTGGCCATATGAGGAGCCAGGTGAGAACTGAAATAAGTGAAAATTGCTGTTATGAAAAAGCCCCAAACTCCAAACTATACTAGTGTTAAAAAAAAGGGAGGTAGCAAGAATGAAATGCCCAGGAAGGGGAAAGGACTCTTTCTCAGTGGCAGCATGCATTTGTGCTGAGTCAGCTTCAAGTTCTCATGAACTTTCTGTTAACTGTTGCGAGTATGTGTGCTAGAACAGTGAAAGATAAAGTATCTTTGATTAATTCTGTGGAAATTAAAGACATATCTGAACTGGGAACACGTCTGATTATTGATGTTTTTATATCATAGCAGCTCAATATTCGTTGAGATTTTCTGTATAAGTGCATTGTATCCTTTTTACCCATTTATTTATTGCTATTGCAGAACCTAAAAGCTGCCAGAAGATGTCACACTCTGCCCTGCTAAACTGTTAGCCTCTGGGCAGCTAATGATTAGAGCTCAACATTTGCATTTTGGTTTCCTCTATTAGGTAAAATGTGCAGTCACGCAGCATATTGAATTTTCTGCTGAGTGTTTTGCCACCTGTTAAAGACAATGCTAGTTTCTCAGCTTCGGAAAATACCCCTCAGGCAGCTTTCATAGCTGTCTGCTGGGTTTTATATTGTCACTTTCAGAAAACCTATAGACACAAATTTTGGAAGAAAAAGCCCCAGTTTTGGGGAGCATTGGTCTTATTTGCAAAACTATTCCTAAGCTAGTATTTCCATGGTGATTGAGGTATAAATTATTTTTGTTTGAAATTTGTTCATGGGAAAGTAAATTTCTATATAATGTTCAGATTTTTTTAATACCTTTTGCTTTTTTATTGGAAAATACTGCAGTGGAGAAGAGCATGATTCATAATATTGTAATATAATTCTCTTTTTTTCATTTGTATGATGGTTGGAATGAGGTAGTGTAAGAGATGCCCGGTGCTCTAAACATAAGGTACTAATATCAGAAAATAATGCAAATTAGAGTTGGCTTTACCTGGAGACTTTTGTATTTTATATTCTATTATTAGGCTATTGACGTACAATTCCTGCATATGTTTAGACCTGACCAAGCAAGTTTTCCTTGCATTCTTTGTGCTTTTGACTCTTTTTGCAGTCAGCTTAACTGCTCATTTGGATTTGACGGTTCGAGTTATATCGTAAACTATAATTGACACGTCTTGTTCATACATGTATTTGTTGTCCTGTTTTAATGATGAGTGGGGCAAGTCACAACTAACCTTAACATGAAAAAAAAATTGTATGTTTAAAAATCATCTGTAAATACATTCAGATTGGAAATTAGAAGGTGATTTCTAATTGTCAAAGGAGTGAGGCTTTGGAACAATTTTGGAATAGAATTATCAGGAGGAAACCTAACTGGTTTTAAGATGGAACTTGATATACAGTAGTGTTACTGGGGACTAGACTTCATGCCCAAGAAGTTGACTTCTATTTACAGATTTCAGATTAAGAGAAAGTACTATGTTCAAGAATGAACAAAAACCCCAAAGCAATTCAAGCCCTATTTGTACATCACAAAGAAGGGGGAGGGCAAACACACAGCTCGCTTGTATTCATTTAATACTGCAGTTCTGTGAAGTGAAAAGCTACTCAAAAATGCAAAATTTTGATGCCCTTTTCAATGCCTATTTTAGGAGAAACTACGGCTTGAAAGAAACAAGGAGTACAATCAATATCTCAGGGATAAAGAAGAATGGAATGAAAGGCTAAGGAAATTAGGGAAGAAAAACACAGAGGTAATACAGTTTTACTGAAGCTGATACAAAGAAGAACATAAATGATCTTGTCAATTGTTTTATCACTGGCTAAGACATACAAAGTAAGACAAAATAAGCAAAGAATGTTGTTCAGTTAGGCTACAGTTTTACTAATATATCTAGCAAGTTCTGGTTATGAGTCATACACTACAGTTCTTGATTCCTACTTCAGTCATGTCTATCTGGTAGAAGGATGTTTTAATTTTCCTGTGTGTCTGAAGGAAGTCCCTGGATTGTTCTTGGTGATAAAAGTGGTGGCCAAAAAAGCTGTCTCTTTGGACAAAATGTTGAGCTCCACACAGTGTTCCTTAGCTTTTATTTGTAGCGGCTTTTTCCTGTCTGTGTCCAGTTCATGAGAAAGCAAGGCAAGTGCAGGCAGCTGTTCAGTATATGGTGCTGTGCATTTGTGAATCAAAAAAAAAAAAAAAAGCCTTTGCTACTGAAAGTGAGCTAGACACATGCATAATTGAACTCCGATTCTGAGCTGAGGCCTTTGATTTGTATGGCAGTAGGCAGCTAAGCACCATGCAGCCACTTGCTTACTCCCCACCCCCAGAGTCAGAAGGGTAAAAGTGAGAAGACTCATAGATTGAGATAAAGACAGTTAATAAGTAAAGCAAAAGCCATGCACGCAAGCAAAGCAAAATCAGGAATTCATTCACTCCTTCCCATCAGCAGGCAGGTGTTTAGCCATCTCCAGGAAAGCAGGGCTCCATCGTGTGTAACAATTGCTTGGGAAGACAAACACCATAAACCTGAATGTCCCCCCCTTCCTCCTTCTTCCCCCAGCTGAGCATGATGTCATATGGTATGGGATATCCCTTTGGTCAGCTGGGGTCAGCTGTGTCCCCTCCCAGCTCCTTGTGCACCCCCAGCCTGCTCACTCGTAGGGCAGCATGAGAAGCAGAAAAGACCCTGACTGTAAGCACTGCTCAGCAGTAACGAAAATATCCCTGAATTATCAACACTGTTTTCATCACAAATATAAAACATAGCCCCATACAAGCTACTATGAAGAAATTTAACTCTATCCCAGCCAAAACCAGTACAACAGTCAACAGGGGATTTTTAGGTCCAATTAGCATTGTTGTGAGACCCTTTGTTTTAGTAATCTGGAAGCAATATATTGATCTGAGAAAGCCTCTTTACTGCTTGTTGATTGTAAAATCATGTGTAGAATGGGTAAATTTTCTTTTTAAAATATCATTGCCTTAGTTTAGCGATGGACTGCAATAATTTGGAACTCTCATCTAATGCAGGTTTGATTTAAGAAGGCCTTCCACTTTCTTTTCAGTATGGAAATTCTTAAGTGTACAGTAGTGTGAAAGCTAGGTCATTCTATGAAGGGACTTGTATTTGTGCTCAGAACAGCTGAAAGTTTATTGTCTGTCTTAGCGCAGTTGGCAAATGCAAATATCCATGTATTTATAATTTCTATCTAGAATAATGTTTCTTGTCTGTGTCCAGAAAGATTGTTTTCTTATGAGAAAGATCTTTTCCTCAGAGTGCATTGGAGTGTCATATAGTTGAAAACTATTTTAATCTGTCAAGACAGCTGTAAGGCAGTATTCAGGCATCCTTTAGATGTTAGAATTCAATATCTGATTCTTACTGGCTTCTTCAAGGGTTGAAGTGCTACACAACAGTGATCCCTAGGAAATACATGGCAAAAATGCACCTTGTGTTTGTGTAACTGAGTCTATGTATCTCTAAAGATTTTTCTACATATGTGGGCATTTATGTTTCCTCAGCTGACTTATCTAATCAAATCTATTTAGGGAGTCAAGGTTTTTTTCTTTCTGCTTTGTTTGTAATCCCATTGGACCTTTACATAATATTTTTATTATTCTTGTGTAGAAACAATTTTGCTGTCATAAAAGATCAAACAGGAAAAAAAACTGGTTTGGGTTTTTTGAGGTTCTTCCATCTCTGAAGGATGTTTGACTTGGAATGAGAGTCGAATGAGTCTCATGATTAACGTATGTGGCCTCAAAAATTTGATCCAACTGTTTAGATAATCATAGTATAAACTTCAGTTGCAAGGAACCTCTGGAAGTCATGTCATACGATCCCCTGCTCAGAGCAGGGTTAACTTCCCAGTTAGATCGGGTTGGTCAGGCCTTATCTGGTTGAGTTTTGAAAGGATGGGGAATCCACAGTTCCTCTGGGCAATTTCTCCCACTGCTTTAACTGCTTGAGCTCAAATTTTTACCTCCGTATTCCATCGGAATTTCCTTTGTTGCAACTTGTGACCATTGGTTCTTTGAAAACCATGATTCTGGCATCTCTGTAACCACCCGTTAGGTGGAGACTGCAATTACTAGTTACTCCTGCCCCCATACATACCCTCCTTAACCTTCTTTTTCCAGGCTGAACAAACCCAGCTGTGTCAGCTTCTCCTTTATGAACTTGAGTGCCTTAACCATCTCAGTAGCCGTCTTCTGCACTTTCTCCAGTTCATCAGTATCCATGGAGGGGGTGGGAAACTGGGCACACTCCACCAGAACCTGAATATTGAATAAATACTGAGCAGAGGAGAAGGATCACTTCCCTTGACCTGCTGATGACGCTCTTGCTGTTGCAGCCCAGGGTGTGGTTGGCTGTCATCACTGCAAGCGCGCTCTGCTGACTCATGTTGAGCTACTTGTCCACCACTAACCCAGGCCTTTTTCTGCAAAACTGCTTTCTAGATGGTCAGTGCCCAACCTGTACTGGTGCATGGCGTTATTCTGTCTCAGGTGCAGCATTTTGCATTTGCATTTGTTGATCTTCATGAGCTTTTTGTCAGCATATTTCTCCAGTTTGTCAAGACCGATCTGAGTGGCAGTCATACCCTTTAGTATATTGATCCCTCTTCCCAGTTGGGTGTCTTTTGCATCTTTAATTTATTTTTCATTACATTTTGTAAAGCATGAGTTACTGTTATCTTTATTCCACAGATGAAAGATTAGTGCACAGAAATACTACAGGATTTATCCAAAACCATGCTGTTTGCTAGAACTGTGTATTGGAACACTGGTCCAGTGTGTCATAGGGTTGGTTTTTATCCACTAAACTATCCTTTCTCATAGTGACATCTCCTAGGGAGCAAAGACATAGATTAAGAAATTGTCAAGTTAAAAGGTTGTGCTCATAGGTAAGAAGCATTTGCAGACTTGTCTGAATCTGGATAGAATAAAGATATCTAGTCTCTCGATGAGGTATAAAGTTCAAAGTGTTTTTTGATTCTTTGCACCTCTGAATCTGAAGGTCAAATTGGATTTCATAAAAGGCTCGTCCAGGATTGATAGCCATTCTTCTGAAAAACATTAGATAAGAGAGAGTGCTTTTTTTCCCTCAAGGAAAAAAAAAAATTCCTAGCTTTTAAGCCCTCCTTGAAATACTTTACTTGCTCACCTCCTACCTTTTCTCCAGTACCTGTTTAGGGATTGTTCGAAGAAATACAAAACCAAGTTTTTGCTCAATGTGATTTGTTTATATTCCGATCTTTTAATATTTTTTTTTTCCGTTAAACAGAATGAGATGGACAGGAATAAAAAACCTATTGCTGTTACCAGGCTCCAGCCAGAACTACATACAGAAGTACAGCCCTGTAATACAGGTGCAGAACCTCCCAAGAAGGATGCCTTTACTTCTACAGAAGGTTATGAAGAGCTGCTAAATAAGAGATGGCTGGAGGAAGACAGGTATCATAGGTTAGATGATGAGGTTGAATTAAGAAGTCAACTATTAAATAAGAGACTTGATGAAGATTTGGATGTTCCCAATCGAAGACATCGTGGATTTGCTAGCCAATCTGTAATTCCTATTAGGAAGCATCACAGACTTGATGAGGATCGTGATTTTGGTAGAAGATACTACAGAATGGACTATGATCCTGAGATATGTGAAGAAATGGACCCTAGATTTAGATGTGAAAGCGCTTATGACAGAAAAACTCCCCGTGTTTTTTATGCTGAAAGGTAGTCTTAATTCTGTTTTCTCCTTTATTTCTGTAGTGCTTGTTGACAGCCATGGTTTGTTCTCATTGAAAAGTAGGAAAGATTCACATGTGAAAGCAGGATTTTTGTACTTACTTTAAAAAGGAACTTTGCAATAATTTTGAGAAAAAATATTTAAAAATTGGAGTAGTACCTAAGACTATACATCACACATTAGGGAGCATTTTATATATTATGGCAAACCAAGGATACTAGAGAAATTACCCCAGAAAAAGAAGCCCACAATTCATTTTTATGAAGAGTAGTTTGCCAGAAAACATGTTAGTATTTGAGAGCAAACCCCTGTGCTGGGAATGCAAGATTTACGTGTATTTTCTTAGTCTGTAATAGTTATAGCAAGTCAATTTTCAATTCATATTCCAAAATTGGTTTGAGCTTCAGTTTTTGGTGCATGTCACTATGTGTTAGAAATGTAAAAATATATTTAAAAAAATTTATCTTTTTTTACTGCGTGTCTTGCTAAATGGCAGACTTTAAACATATACATAGTTGAACCAGATTCTGATGGTGTTAATAGGTGCTAATCTCAGTAATAACTACACAATCTGAATAAACATTTAAGAAAACCCAAACCAAACAAAAGAGGGTGTTTTAGATAAATCATTCAGGAGGAAAACTGATATTATGTACTGTTCATTATTAAACAGTCTTTACTGTGTTAACTGATAAATCAGTTTGGTTACTTTGACATAAATTGTTAATCTTTCTCTTGTAGCTCACTAATTTAAAAAGAAAAAAGGCATAACCTTCTCAGTCATTCAGGGTTTTGCAGTCTGGCCACCTTCGGTTATTCCATTGCAGGAACCAGTTGCTTTCAAAAACAGATGGGTTGTGGTGTGAAACAGTACCAAGCTTGAAACAGATGTGTTTTATGCAGCTAAATTCAAATGAAATAAAGCGGTCAAGTTTCTTGTAAATAAATTTCAAAAAAGATGCTTGAAGAGTGTTCATTTGTTCACATTACAGATCTTGGGAACATGAGTGTTGTAGATGTTTTGGTTTTTGGTTTTTTTTTTTTTTCCCCCATTTATGTTAAGCTTGTTGCCAGAATTATTTTACTGCAGTTGCTTCAGTGAAGGAGACACCACTGTGTTTCCCTTGTTAGGCAAAATAACCGCTTTTTTTCCCTAGAGTTAACACTTCCAGAAAAAACAGAAGGCAAATTGTACCACTCTCAACAGTGTTAAATACTACGATCATGTTTTATTGTTAATTGCTGGTGGACTGGTTAAATGATCTTTAGAGTCATTGTTTACAGGGATAATTTTCTGGATGGTACTGCAAATTAATAACTGGGAAAAAAACAAACCCTAAAGTGCTCTTCTATTGCAAAAGTGTTTTTCTAAATTGAATGAAGTCATGCTTCTTTTCTAGTTTCAAATGCCAATAGAGTTAAAATAACTTCTCTACAAAAATAGCTTTTGATATTCTTTCTCAGCCTTTTAAAAAAAAATGTAAAGGAATTAAGTAACTATGGAGAAAATGAAATGTCTGGAAGCATTTGGGAGATGCAGACTAAATAAATAGGTTATTTCAGAGTTTCAGATTGTATGTTCAGATGTGCTTCTAAAAGCAGGTATTTATTCATACAGTGTTTCTGAAAAAGACTAGCAAATGGAAACAGTGGTTAAATAGATAGCAGGAACAAGATTGCCTGTTTTCTGCTGAATGAGATTCAGAGAAGAGAATGCAAAATACAAAAATTGTTCCATCCTGTAGTGTAATATTGGTAGAAATGAGCAAAGGAGGTGTTAGGGTAGAGTCTTCTTGTCCCACAACTTTTCAGAAAGAAAAATATTAGAAGCTTGACTTAGGGTTTAACAAAGATAACCAAGATGTCTGTATTTTTGAGATTAACAGCAATGTTAATACTCTATGTTAATTAACACCTAGAAGGATGAATGTCTAATGCAATTGGACATAGAGTGTAATATTTAAATAAAAAATGACCACTCGATAAAGTTTGAGGGTTTACTTTGTTTCTCAAAGATGTATACAGAATTATATATGTAAAATATTAGCAAGAATGGTGTTTGAACCAACAGTAGGCAGTATCATGTGGCATAGAAGTATACTAGTTCTTAGTTATTCCAGAAAACACTGATGGTGCTTATATAAATATCTGTGGCCAATATATCACTAAGCAATTCATTGCATATTTGGAGAGGCCTCTGAAACAATTTAGTTCCAGTTTTCTTTTAAAAGAAAATACAGAAGATAGTCTTATCATTGTTATATTGGCAAACTTGGTGCATCTTCTTAAAAGAAGTTGCTGAACCATTACCTGAATTGCCTGAACTGAAATTTGTACATAAAATTAAGGTTTGATTTCCTCCCCCCTCCCCCCGTGTGTATTTTCTACTTTGCTGAATTTTTACTGAAAAATACTTTTTTTTTTTTTTTTAATTAAATGTGCTTCGTAATCTAGGACTCCTTTTCTCCTTTGCAAGGAGCTCCACTTAACCGTTTATGAACTATATTCAGTCACTCTTCAAGAAGGAGAAATGCATCTATTAGTTACTGACAGCTCAGCTTCTGAAGAGTTAGCATTTTTTTTTCTGCATTTCAGGCAAAGTCAACTTTTCCAGAACACATTTGGTTCATGACAGAAACTAAATTCATAAGGAGGAATATTTTTATTTGCTGTACTAAAGTTTTTATGTTTTTAAATGGGCTTTATTAGTTTGGAGAGGCAGATGTTTGCACCAGGACTTTTCAGAAAGGTTTCTGTTTTGGCAGAGGCACAAGGACTGTGGTATATTTCAGCAAATAGAAATGGTGACAGGGAAGTGAGAGGAAGTGCAAAATGTTTCGGTTCTTACAACTGGAATGCTTTAGTCCATCCCCAGCAGGCAGGTCTGTCCTATGAACAGGATACAACAGCTTCTTGATTGAATTGGGCCAGCATGTCTGGGCATGCCATGTTAAGCTTGCTGCATTTTACAAAAAAGGTTGCCTCTTGAATCCCAAGATTTTTTTCTTTGCTTCCTCCCTGCATCCTTTCATCACGCTATGGACTAGGCTTTCTATTTCCTGACTGTGTTTCAGTCGTACGTGACCAGCCTTGTAAGTAGCAGATTGATCATTATCAAAAAGTTGTTCTTGATCATGAAAGAAGATCATGTTATGCCAAGAGGATGGATGGCGTTCTTTCATGTTGTTCTTGTGGGTTGTTAAGATGCCAAATCAGTGTTTAATAATCTGCTTGCATCCTTTCGCCTTTGATCATTGGCTTTTATTTAAATTAGAGATGGGCAGAGCTGTGGATCTTTCTACATAAAAGAGTAAGTTGGGTTTTTTTCTGTTTACCTAGTGGTTTTTTTTTGTTGATTGCTTAATAGGAAGTCCATGGCTCTGTCCAGCTCTGGAAAATACATAACTTTGTACATACTTTATTTTTCATTGAATACCTATTCTTGCCTTATTTTATCAAGATAACTTGAAGTAGTTAATTTGCAAGGCAAGAAAAGCCTTGCAACTACCCCAGATCTTTTCAGGAAAAGCTCCCCTGTGTCCATACAATTTTTGACGTTGTTGAAATTATTTGAAGTTTCAATTATACTACTTCATTTCATATGTAGATGATTGAAATTGTAGCTCCGGAATTTTGGTATTCACCATATTACTTGTATTTTATCTTGATTAAAACTCCCCTCTCTCTTTTAAATGGTATCAGGTACATAGTGAAGGGTGGGTTGTCAACAGAGAAGCTTTTCATATCCGAATTAACTGTTTCATCAGACTTGCACAATAGCTGTGTGCTGAAATCTGTTCTAGACTTTGTTGGCTCCTGGGGATTAAGAGCAGCAAGATCTGTTTCAATTAATGCAGTGTGAATGCTGAATGCTCTTCAGCTCTCAGAACTCTTAACCAGGCTCAATAGATAAAGGTTGCATGAAAGCAGGTTTGGGAATTCAAACTCCAGACAGAGAGCTGCCTTGACAAGGCTAGCAGAGTGAATTATTTCTGGAAATTTTGTGTGATATTTTCAGAAATGGTTTTGCCGTCCAGTGTGCAATCGGGCTGAGGATCCATTTGCACGAAACTGCTGGACCTTCCATTTCAGACTGGATGTTTTTAGGCAAGCATAGCTGAATATTTTCTATTTCTTTAAGGCCCTATCTGGATGGAACAGTAAGAGATCTACCTGCAGATTATGAAGAGGAATTAAAGGAGAGAGCACGTGTGCAGCAGATCTCAAGAACTGGAAATTCTAGGTGTGGTATTCAGTGTATTTTTCTGATAATTGCACTACAAAATCATGGTGAAAAGAAAATGTTTATTTAAAATCCATAATATGTTGTCTGAAATGGCTGGTAGTTTTTCCTGCAGCTAGGATATAGTAGAACAAGAAAAACGTGTTTCCATTGAGAACAGCTGTTGAAGCTTGCATGCCAGTTTTCTTTTTGAAACAGTAGATCACTTATTCTCCAACTGAACTTTTAATGATTAGAATAACATGGAATCCTTTTTTGATAGTAATTTTAAAATTCCGTTTTTTCGTCTTGTCTTGGTTTTGCAAGTCCTGAAGTGATCTAAGTGGATGAGGCAGAAGCAGAACACTTGTCAAGACCTTACGTAAACTCTTGACTGGCACCACTCAGTCTGTCAACATTGTTGAAGTGCGCAACTGAGTCTGTTTCTGATAGCTTCAGAAACCGCAGGCAAACGAGAACTGTGAGAAATACCTTTTTGCCAGGCGGTTTCTTCTTTTGCTTGTGATATTTCTTTGGATTTTAGGAAAGCTGTTTTGTCGTAAACATATCACCTAGTGATGTAAGTGTATCTATCATGTTTCACACAGACTGCAAGTAAATTCTTGAGTTTGATCTTTCCATTTTCTTTTTTGTCTTTGCCAGAAATCACGTACAAATTAGTTCTTCAGCTAATGAACAGGCTAAGTCTGCAGCTGAAATGCCGTATACAACAGGCCTTGTTCTTGGTATGTATAAAAACCTAACTAATGACACCGAGTTAGCCTTTCTTTGCATATTTTGTTTTTCTTTGGAAATAATTAAACCCTAGAAAAATTAGCTTTTTCTTTGTGCTAGTTGTCCCCAACACTGGTACATAAATATTATTTACACTGAGAAAATAAAAAAAGAAAAACATGTTCCTTTTCCCCTTTAATGTAACGGGGCTTAATTTTGAAGAGCCTAAGTTTCTTCTTAGAGTTCATTAACAGTTTAAGGCCCAGATACATTCTTAAGCTTTTTACAAAATGAAGTGTAGGAGAAATATTAACACCTGTGTTGTTAAAGACACCGCTTGGTATTGAATTTTAGTTACAGAAATATGGGAAATGGTACTGTTCACAACCTTGTGCAAGAACAAATTATTCCAATCATCTCTTACTGCTTAAAATGTAGCCATAAAGTTTAGCAGGGAACATTATTATTGAGTGTAGTAGAGAAATACTGTTGAAAACATAGCATTCCTAGCTAAATTCAGAAAATTATAAGGCAAAAATAAAAGAACTGTAGTAGTTCTTCAGATGGGAGCCTTTGAAGGCAACCTGAGTTTGAATGCAGGAAAAACTGACTAACCATTGCCAGAAAAATTTCTATTTATTTTTACATTTGAACTTACCTGATTTTCAGTGCTGTATGTGGCAGGTCAATTTTTTGGAACTGTTGAAGGCAGCATTAAAACAGCGGTGTTGTAGTGGTCAGTCTCTCTGATCTGTTCAGTCATCACGTTTGTAGTAACTCGAGTACACAAAGTTGTGAATTTGTATTCCTAGCAGTCCTGGTTAGGAAAATAATATTGTTAACTATGTCGTATAAAGATTAAGTAAATTAAAACTTGAAATTTTTGGAAATGAGAAGTGATTTCAGACTCCCCAAAGATCACAAACCATGAGGTTAGCTTGCACATTTTGGTCACTTTATGGTCCCAGCACAATAATAGAATACAAAAATTCAGTCATGCATCATGGTTTTGTTTGGTGGTGGTGGTTGTTGTTTGGGTGTTTTGTTTGGTTGGTTGTTTTTTTTTTGTTTTAGTTTCTTTGCAACTTCCTTCACTCTATTGTTCAGGAGATCTGCAGTGATTTTGTGTATAGAAGTATGTTAGTGGTCCTTGTGTCTGATAGTCATACTATATAGAAAGTGGTGATGATGGGGGGTTTTTTGTTCTGTTTTTAAAATAATAGAAGAATCCATGCTTCTTATGGGGGAACTACCACAGGTTGAAAGTTTTTTGGGTTCCTTAAAATCCATATGAGATGCTATCACTGTTTCCTTTTACATATACATATCTGCCAATGCATTGCTAATTCTTAGTAGTCATGGGAACCATCCTAAAAGTGGAGCAATTTGCTTTGCTCCCTGTGGGTTTGACTCTCTTCAGTTTTAACTTTCATTTTTATCCAGAGCAGCAGCTCATAATTTTGGAGTGCCATAGTTTATCTTCCTTAGCTGAGCATTAGGGAAAAAAAAATAGCAAATTTAAGTAACTTCTTCTAGTTGTTGTTGTATCACATAGCTTTGAAATTTGTAGCTTCCTTACTATACAGAAACAGGCAAACTAGGAAAATAATAATGAAAATTTTAGTAGTTTTGATCGTCATATTACAAACAAACTGCGTATTAAAACTAGCTTTTTTTTTTAAACAGTAAAGATCCAGTGTTCTTATGCACATCCCAGATTGTATATTGTGCTGTGTTTCATGTTTTAAAGTGCCTGAAATGCAATGTTTTTGTCCAGTACCTTTTGTGTATTTTGTGGAGCATTTATGCAAATGTGTGATCATTTCCATTAGGCGGTCAGGACCGAGAACTTCTCCAAAGGAAAAAAGAGAAATACAGGCAAGAACTAATAGAACAGATGGCTGAGCAGCAGCGCAATAAGAGACGGTAATGGAAAGTTACTATATTTTTAAAAGATAATGGCTGAAATTTAAAGGAATTTCATTAATTCAATGTGATAAGAATAATTTTCATAACTAAGGAATTCCAGCTAGCTAGGTAATATTGCATCCAGTTAAACTCATTGGCATGAGAGCTTTAGTTTTTCATAAATTTACCAGCTTTCAATGGAACAAAGGGAAAACCAGATTTTTTTTTAATTTTTAAAAAATGATTTTTAGTTTCTTAAGGATAAACAAGCTCTAACTGAAGTTATCTCTTTTGGTAGAGGAGTGTCTAATTACTTTGCAAAGTTGAAAATGAGTCTTGTTTGGACTGATGATCTTAGAGGTCCTTTCCAATCTTAATGATTCCTAGTTTTTACTTTCATTAAAAATAATCCAGCCACCAAGCCAGGAAACACGAAATTGCTACTCTACCCTTAATTGGTTTAGTGGTGGACTTGGTAGCATTAGGTTAATGGTTGGACTGGATGATCTTAAAGGTCTTTTCCAACCTAAACGATTCTATGATTCTGTGATTCCAATTTAGGAAAGTAACCTTTCACTTTCAAAGCACTTGACCATCTGGCTTATACAGAATAATAAAATATAAATTTCTTGCTTACCTGTTATTAGCTGCCTGGTGAATGATAGTATGGATACATGAAGCCACACAGTGATATTAGTGAAGGGATAAGGAATTAAAAATAAGTTATTACTGACGGTTTCACTGTGATGAAAAATTGTACACCCTGAACAAGCCTGAGCCCTGAAATTACAATATAGTACTTACTGCTGTACTTTTGAATCATTCATGTCAACATGTCTATTACAAACTTCTTGTTGTGATGTGAATAAAGATCAGTTTTTAAGAAATGTTCTGAAAGGTTGTAGTAAAAAGCAATGCGGTGGTTTGGCCTTTTATGGTAGTTGGATTTTTATTAGGCGAAATAGATGATAGCCAGGTATTCTTGAGAGTTTTGTTTATTTAGAAGTAATACACAGTATCCTTCTTCCCTGACTCCAGAAGAAATCAAGTGGAATCGTGTCTTCTGTTAATCCTGCATTTTCAGAGTTATTTTAACTACAGAGTTGCTTTGAAAGAATGAGTATAGTTGTTACTGCTTTCTGATTTGATCCTATTTGTTTCTTTTTTTTTTTAAAACAAAAACAGTGAGAAGGAACTTGAGCTCTCAGTTGCTGCATCTGGAGCTCGAGACCCAGAAAAGAAGGTAAGGAACTTGGATTTTCTTACACCTATATAGGCCTTTTTCTTTTTTTTTTTTTTTAATTACATGTACACTGTGGTTGCTCAGTCACAAAACTCTGTAGGGCTTTTATAGAATGATAAACGTTATGTTTTTTTCTAATAGGGCATTAGCATAAAAAGAAATTGAAGCCAAGGATGATACGGCTGTTACTCATTACACATGCTTTCAGCTTAAGAGGAAAATATTTTCATGGATGTTATCGATGTTTCTTTTGCTGTGACCAAGTGGAAATTTTGTACAAGCAGTGGGTATAACAGAAAAAATCCTTGGTGCCCACTGGTAGCCTGTACATGCACACATTAGTAACCCTTCTTTGGGGATGTAAAGTATGCTGCAGAAATTTTTGCTCTTTTTCAGTTAAAAATAAAAATCCAGTTGTTTTGCGGCTGAGTTGATCTCATTGTAGCAATTTTTAATTTCAAATGTGTAGTTCTTTTTTAAACTGTCAAATGTAGTGTTCAGGATTTACAAGCATTTTTATAGGATTTTGTAAAAAGCAAGATGTTTAATATTGTGTTGCTTGTAAGACTTAATGCAGAGTTACCATTGTCTTCACTTCCTTCATAAGGTGATCATTGTACTACAAATTTTGATCAGCATATATGAAGGAGTAGATTGTCAGCGCTAGTAACATTAGTAGCAGACTGGTGTCACAGAACTACTGGTATGATTTGTGTGTGTGATTGCTGAGTGCCCGAAGCCATTGCATCTTGGGTGCAGTAGAGATCTGCAGTTGGAGATGTAGGATGGGTAACTTTCTCAAGCAAGAATAAACTGGTTATTAATTTAACTGGTTACCAGTTTAAATTATCAATGGTGCTGTTTTTCTGGGGAGGCTGCAACACAGAAAGAAACTCGTGCCATTGCTGGAGAGTTCAGCAGAGATGAAGGGAGCTCTTAATTTCTAGAAGGTGAAGATGAATGAGTAGCTGTAAGATGCTATCAGTCAGCACGTGAGGCAGGAGACTGAGCATACATGTAAAGCTGAACCAAAATGCTTACTCCTAAATGGGGAGAGAGAACTCTGACAAGTGGTCTGGCTGCATGTTCCTGCCCTCTCTGCCTGAAGTATCTGTGGTGCTTGTTTGATCCCTTTTGCAAACTGATTCAGCTTGGTTAGCTGGCAAAAATCTGAATCTGTTTTTGCTACTTTAGTTGGCTTAGAGAGGTCAGTTGGCTAATCGGGGATTCAGATGGTGAAAGGCAGAGGGACGGAGTGTATAGCTGGGAGGCCAGGCAGGAAAAGAGGAAAAACTGAGCAGAGGATGCAGTCTCTTTTGGCGCTGCAGGCTGTAAGGTCAGTGTAAACAGTTTTGTCTAATCAAAGCTGACTAGGCAGAGGCATGCTGAGCTGAAGCACTCTATATACCATAGGCATCTCAGTCAGAGGCTGAAAAGTGCCTGTTGTAGGAACAAAATTGTATCCAGAGCAAGTCCAGGGCATGTATAATGTTTTAAAACCATTAATTGAGCTGAAACCCTTCAATTAAGTAGAATTGCTACATTCATTAAGCAGCAGTCACTGTTAGCTTTAAATTGCCTCCCGGGGAGGGATTCTAATTAGGTACGCTTCTTGATTAATTACAGGTTGGTTAAATAGTAACGCCTGATCAAGAATCTATGAATGTAGACTTGTATATACTGCTTGTTTAAAAGAAAACAATCCCCAGGATGAACTGAGTACCATAGTGACATCTGAAATTAGCTACCAAGCTGAAATCTGGGGCACTTTGGGCACATCAAACTTGTTAGTGAGAAAGGCTGTTTTAAATGTTCTCCTGATCAAGACACTGGATTTGAAAAGACAAGTTAAAAAAAGTCTGTGGACTGCTTTATAATTTTCAATTGCTGTAGCTCATATCTATTACTCATTTTGCATTCACATCTAGAAATTTGAAGTTAAATGTTATAAACAAGTATTCATGTCTAGTAGATTTTGAGAATTTTAATCTTAATGCTGTAGTTCATGATCGGTGAGTACTAACGGCCTTGTATATACTGTCTTGCAGCTAAGTGATGAGGAGGTAAAGATTTAATATTTTGCTGAAATACTTCCATATTGTAGGGTATATAGTTTGCTGTTAGATATTTAATATTTAGCTGATTGCTGGTATTACTTTCTCTGAATGCATGCTAATTGAAGCACTACAATGTTAGGACCAGTAAATTCGGAAACAAAATCTGTTAGACAATGTATGATTTTTTTCTGCTCTTCTATTATATTGACTAATTTAAACAAATATTAAAATATTTATGCATAGCAGCTGGTATAAGGGCTTTCCGGGTGTGATAGGATAGTTCTAAAACTAACTGTGACTTGCATGCCTTTGCATTACTTGCATGTTGCCTTTGACTTTTTTCTGAGGCTGCCAGTTATCAATAAACATTTGATACTTTAAAAAAAGAAACTCGCAAAATTTTGTAATTGTTGTGGTTGCAAAAGCTAATAAAATCAAAGGAACCCAAAACCTGAAATAACAGTATTGCAAGGAAATGTTTATTGGAAAAAGTCTCAGTGTGTGTTTGTTTTTACTTTTACTATCATGAGCTATTTTAGGGTTTTTTTAGGGGGGGAGGGGTGTATTTTAGGAACTTTTCCTATACATAATATGATAATCCTGTCAGTGTAAGAAACTGGTGGCTGTACTACAGACAACTGTGTAAATACTTCCCCCGCCCTCCCCCGCCCCCCAGGATAATAACTAGAACCATGTACTTCCTGAAACCTGCCATAGAGGCTGGATTTTGTAAATCTGTGATAAACATGCTGGATTTCCTTGTAGTATTAGATTTCCAGTAATTCCTTGGGAGGTAAAAAAAAATGCAATTACTAGAAATTTGAACAGCTGTTTGGGACCCAGTGAAGTGTTTAACACACCCTAAATGGCGTTTCAGAATATCTCCTATTAATAACAAAGTAACTGCTTTTTTTCTCTCTTTTTCTTTTTCTTTTTTTTTTTTTTTTTTCCTTCAGCCAAACAGATTGAAGCAGTTTGGCTTGACAGCAAGAGCTTCTGAAGAGACAGTACCTCCTGAAAAGCCTAGGGTGGCTTTCCAAACTCCGGTGCCTGACCCTTCAGCCTCTCCAGTGAATGAAGACTTTCACAGGGGGCTAGCCAGCACTCTTGGTGAAATAGCAGCACCCAGGTGCTTCACCATCATGTTCATTTTGCATGTTAAATAAGCTTGGTGCTAAGCATGTTATTACTACTCAGGGGATGTTTGTGTAGGATAAGAGTCTTGCTGTAGAAATGATGTCCGTGGCTGTAAAATGGAACCGTGTTGTGGGTGTGCTTGGGCATGTGCTTGGGGCGTGTGCCAGCGGTGTCCATATTGTTAGAAGGCTGGTATGGCATGAGTTTGGCCCCTGTCAATTAAGTGATCTCCCAGGGCTAAGCTCAGGAACGCAGGGTAGGCAAGGACAGCTTCCACTGGACAGTGGTTGAGACTTAAACTGCTTTGGGAGAGAGAAGGAACTTTTAAGTGTGTGGCTAAAGCTGTGCTGTGCCACTTGCCCTTTGACCAGAGACTAATCCTTGGCTTTTTTATTTACTGTTACTGATGTAACCAGTAAGTATCATTAACTGAACCAGTTAAAGAAGGCGTGCTTGTTTTATGTTCTTTAGATCTCTGGAATAGTGTGGGTTCATGTACTACTCCCTAAGGGAACGTTAATTTCCTACTGAGGCTTATTGTATCTTGTTCCTGCATGGCACTAATGAGAGGTCTTGGGCTGAGCTAAATCTAGAGTTTTCCTATAGTGAATTCTCTCTCTCTCTCTTTTTTCCCCCTCCCCCGCCCATTTCCTTCTTTTGATCTCTTTTCAGTTGTACAACAAAACAAAAAATTGTGTTCTTTTTTTTTTTTAAGGCTTGCACCAATCCCACCGCCTCCACCGCCAGTTTTGACAGACAACTACAGAACGCCTTATGATGACGCATATTACTTTTATGGGGTTAGGAATCCTTTGGATCCCAATCTTGCATATTGTAAGTTGATGATTTTAGGTGGATTCGTTGTTAGAGTGATTCAGATGACTACTTTTAATCTAGTTAAATGATGAATAAGGTAGAGTAGAACTAGTAACGGCAATTTAAACCCATTTCTTAGATGTGTATTGAATGCAAAGCTGGCTTTTTTTCAATGCTGGTTTTGAATGAGGTAGTTTTCTCCAACTGCAGAAGGGCCTATGGCTTCCAGAAATCTTGTTCATTGCTTGAACAAGCTCTAGCCTCTGCTACTTAGCCATTACTCCTCCCAGATAATTTTCTTTATAGTTTTGACAATCAAAACATTATTTTCTAAAATTGCTTAAATCATATTATAATTGATTACATGTTTAGGTGGTGTTAGAATTTCAGATATAATTTTAAATACTTTTAAAGGAACTGTATGAAGTAATCAAACTCTTTATTTTAAGAACTTTTTTTTATCTACCCTTTACCTGCTTCATGATGGCTTCACGAGTGAAACAACTATGATGTGTGTGTGGAGGGACTGAATTGTTTGGTGTTTGTTTTTTTCTTTTTTACTTTTTTTGCCTTTTCTTAGAGGAAAAAACAGAAATATATTTAAGAAGTTGTTACCTTCATAGAAAAGTTAAAGGAGGAAAAAACCTTACAATAATAACTCTTTTATTGGTTGACTTGAATGAGATTTTATCCACTGGGGAATTTCAGGAATGCTACAGCTTTAAAAGCAAAAGTTTTTAGACTTCTTTTTTCCCTCCAGTGTAAATTTCTCCCTGTCTTGAAATGTAATAGTTCATGGTTTTTTACCTTTTCTTTGTAATCTGATTTTCAGACCACAGTTTTAACTCACAGAAGTTTTGGGATTTGGGGGGGTTGGTTTGGTGTGGGTTGGACTTTCTGCGTTTTATTTTGGTGTTTTGTTGTTTGTTTTCCCTTGTATCAATATAACCTCTAGGGTAAAATGGCTTACAGTTCAGAGTATTAAAGAAACTAATACTTAAAATTCACATATGAGAATCTTAAAGCTTCTTGTCACAAACTGGAATATTGCTAGTGCTTAAAATTTGAAAGTATGAAAAGTGTTTGAGAGATGCATCTCTTGCTGTCTTGAACACAAGCAGTGGTATGCACAGTGATTTCAAGCCGTGCTGTGGCAGAGTGCTGCAGGTCCTATTTTAGTAAGAGTACAGGTGCCAAATGTGCTGCATTTCTGCAGGAGGCAATGGGGCTCTCCTCACAGTAGAGGACACACTTGGAAAGCCTGAGGACAAGGGTTACATTAAGCGAGTTATTTCTTTTTGTTAGTTCATTGTGGAATATGTTAATGAAGACATTTGTAAATTTTAAAAAGATTTAGTTGAATTTAAGAAATAATTTTGTACCTTGACATTGTATTTCTTGCTTTAGAGGTCGTTAAGGATTAGCTAAATTTGTTATACAAGCTGAGAGTCCTGTCTGTAATTCTGCAGTCACAGAGTTTCAGCAGTGAGTTCTGTTCTTTTAAGTAATGGCAAATGTTTATATCTGAGCATTCAAAATTTAAAATAGTAATTTTTTTACTGTGTAGATGGTACAGGTATGACGGGAATGCAACCCACACCTAATCTGGATCCTCCTTTAGGCCAAGCCCCACTAGAGCAATCTGTGTAAGTATTATCTGTATTCATATACTTTGTTTGTATTTATCTGTATCGATACACTTCATGTTGTGAGTATTTTGCTGATGATGGATATGCCTTTGAAATAAAGTGTGTTAAAGACAACTCTTCAACTTCTAGTTAAGAATTTCTATCTAAACAATAATTCAATTAACTCCTCAAACACTTTCATAAATCCATATAAAAATAGATTATAAACTGCCAGGCTGTGGAAAACAACAGCTCTTAAATATTTCAGGCAGGGATTTTTTTTTTTTCTTTCTTAAAATTGTTTTTTAATTCCCTCCCTCTGGACCCTATGACATTTTCCTTTTATATGTGTGGTTTTCTAATTCAGAAGTAACATTGGACAGAAGAATACAGGAGACAGACAAAGAAGCATAGGAGTATTTTCTGAAGAAAAAACAAAGCCTTCCAAAGAGGCAACATTGTCTTATCAACAAGAATTACAACAGCAGGTACTGAGTGATAAAGGTTCCGCTGCTTTCTTCTTTTACTTTTTAACATATATTGGTTTTAACTGTAGCACTCTTTCAAACATATTTATTTAGTTTGCAAGTAAAAAGCTTTCTTAACTCTCCTTCCCTTCATCACTTCCTTCCTCCCGTTCCTCTGACCCTACTTTAGCTCATTTTAGCTCTTCAAGTGGACAGTAAGCTCTTCAATTTTTTTGTCGGAGGCAGAGAGAGTGTTTAGTCTGACAGCAAACAGATTAGTTCCAGGCATAGAGTTTTGTATAATTATTTTCATAAACATAAGAACCTGCATCTTAAAAGTGATGAGTTGTATTCCTATTGAAAGATTGCTTTTGAGCATTATTGCTATAATTATTAGGAAGACTCTAATTTCAATAAGTTCTTCATGATCATCTGGATACTAATTCAAAAGCTTCCCTAATATTTACTTCCAATGTGTTTGTAGGTGGTGTTTTATCTCTTTTCAGCTTCCTTTTTGATAGACTAGACAAATTTCTTGAGTCTCCTGTCTTCCAGTAGACGTCCTAGTCCCCTACTCATTTTAGTGGCCTTTCACTGCTGCACCTTGTGGGAGTTAATATTTACAAAATGTGTTTGACCATGATAAGACATGTTATTTCAGAAGAGATTTAGCTAGAATCCCGTTCAGTGGCACTAATGTTTTCTTATCTTATTCTTCTTTATGTATATCTTAAGTGGAGGTAAATAATGGCTATAAAAATACTCTAGTTCTAATTATGATTGTGCATAGGGATAAAGGAGAGGCTGCCAAACAAGGTCAAATTAAGAATAAAATAAACATTTAGGAATAGTGTCTGATATTGCACTTACACTTCTCTGAAGGCATTTTCTCACTATAGTCTTAAGAAGTAAATTTTACCTTGCCATATGAGAGGCTGCACAATTTGACATAAAGGTCTAATAAACATAGCACGATACGGTCTTTCAAAGTTATTATGCTGTTTATGGTTGAAAGCGAACAGGAGGTATTCTACTTTTTTTTCCTATAGACAAACCTGACTGACCATTTTTGTAAACAGTCGAAGGGGCTAGATGGGTCTTCGTGTTGACTCATTGTATCTCTTATGAAATTGTCTGACTACTTGATAAAGGGAAATATTTAATGCACAGAAGAAACAAACAAGAAAAATATATTAACATATTTCAGCTACATAAATAGTAGCTAATGTTTTAAAAGCTTTGAATAGAAGATGGACTTTTTTTAACAGCTGTTCTCTTTATAAATGCTACATTAAGTTATTAGGAGACTTAGTTATATAAATTTAACCTGATTTTGAAGAAAAGGAAGAACAAACCATATGAACAGTTCTGTGTTATTTGCATACCTCAACATGTATTACTGCAGAAAACTCTTTCATGAATGGTTATAGAATTGTGTAGCATTCTATTAAAGTATTTATTGTTAGGAGTCTTTCTTTATCTCAAGTCATCTCCAGTCTAAGTTGTGGTTAAACAAAATGTACCAGGTTGAGAGAAGCAAGTGTTGTAGTATTGTAGAATTTTGCCTGTTTAATTTTCAGGCAGTATAAACTTCTGTATCAAAGATCCAAAGATATGGGACTTTTAATCTACTGCAGGTGTCAGGTGTGAACATTTCTGGAACTTGGAAGTCTTATAATGTGTATCCGTATGTTTCTCTGTGATTATGCACAACTGGACGTGCACATTTTGACAACAGTATTCAATGCACTGTCCGCAGCATAGGCAGTGAAATGTTTGTGATTTGCTTGATATAGATGGGTGAAATGGGTAATGATAGCATTCAGCTTGCTCCATTAAGTTTCATTAAAATTATACTTCATGTGATGTTTTTATGCAAGTGACTTTGGTTTGTTTGTTTTTAGATAAGAGAGAGAGAGGAACGCCGCAGACAAGAGAGAGAGGAGAAGGAACGCTACGAAGCCAAGTTAGAAGCAGAAATGAGGAATTACAACCCCTGGGGAAAAGGTGGTGGTGGTGCTCCTCTCAGAGATGCAAAAGGAAATCTGATAAGTATGTTTGCCAAAATTATGGATTGTCTTTTCAAGACTGATGTTTTCTTGCTCTTGTAAAGGCTCTATTCAGATATGTTATTCCTTGTTTTGTAACACTGGTAGCCCTTTATTGACAAATAGACGTACTTGTTTCAAGCAGATGCACTCTAGGAATATTTAAGGAGTAATTATTTTGATTTCTGTAGAATCATTTGAAGAGTACAATTTGAACAAAATGGGAAACACAGGATATGTCAACTATAAGGGAAGACACAATGCAATAGTAAAAGGAGAAGGAGGAAAACAAGCTGTTAGAATCATCTGCAATACAAATGCGCTAAAGTCTGTTATGAAGACTTCTATTTAAACATTTTCCAGGAACAGGTTTTTTTATTGTTCTTCTTTTTTAAAATACTTCTAGGCTTAGAAAGTTCTACTTGTGACATGGAAAATGGAAGCATGTTTGGATAAATATATAAAGCAAACTGGAATATTTAGATTTCCCCAAGTAATATTGCTGGTAAATGGCTATATAAATAGCAGTCAGCAGTAATGTTTTTTAAGGTGTATTTTTTTCCAAGTGCTGTTTTATACAGGATGGGAGTAGTGAGCTATAGAGATAGCTATGATCCGGGCAAGTTGTTCATCCATGACTCCAGTAAAGTAGAGATAGATGTAAGATTAAAACTCAAATTCCTGATCCTGGTTCCTAGTGAACCCTACAGGAATAGTTTGTCTAAAATAAAAATAGTACTCAGTAGAAACAATTAGATTTGTATATTTCAAAATCTTGGCCTGTGCTAGCTCTCTTCATTCTTGCCTTTAGCATCTGAGTGAGTGAGTCTTACAATTTTATAACTATTGATTTCTAATGTGAAACAAACTGATTGTCTTGTTATTGGAATATGATGTTGAATTCTGATTAGATTTTTAAAAATATGTCTCCTGGTAATAAAATATGACAATTTTCAAAGCATGGAACACTTACTGGATAACAGTTTATATGTAAATAATTAGTTTCAGTTTTATGACACCTGAGTGACATATGGCTAAATTCATAGTGTAGTTTGAGGGTAGGGGGTAAAGTTTAAATGCTTTTTAAAGATTGTGTGCCCACATAATAAGTTTAAAAGCTTGTGTTGAAGATCCAAGCTTGTGTTTATCCCCAGAGCAGATAAAGTTAGGCAGTGTGAACACCTCTAGGCATTGCATTTAAGTGTCTGGCTTCTTCTCTAGGCTTCACAGTGGTGTGAGTAGAGTGGGTCAGAGGAAAATGTAGGTGTCTGATATTAGCCTGAGCTCTGCGTATACCTGCTGAGAAGCTTATCTCTGTCCATAAATGAGGAACCAAGAGAAAAAAGTTTCTTAGCCTGTTTTCCTGAATTACACGTGTAAAGTTATTTTACCCTCCATAGTTTAACAGCATGATGGATAATCTATGAGGCAAATGTCGTGAAACATAACATGCTTTCTGCCATGTCTCTTTTTTATGCAGCGTGACTTGTCTTTTTATCCTCTTGGAAATGTCTGTAAATAGCTTTTGAGACTCTGATGTATGCAAAGGCTGCTTTAGAGAGGGATGTAATTTAAAGTTCTTGTAATCTGTGTGCTTAAATGACTACAGTAATTCATAATTATCAGAACCACTATTTTAAAAGATAAGCTGAAAACTGTGTAGTACTGTTTTGCTTTGAAATGAGCCTTCTTGGTATAGTATGGTAACACTTCAAAATCAACTGAAATTAACATCTTTGATCAGGATTTTTATGGTAACTGAGAGGCACCATGTAAATTTTTGGTGAAAATGTTGGATGACATTGTTTTGCTTACAGAAATCTGCACCTGGATTATTACTAAAGACATGAAGACCAAAATACGCTTTAATGGTTCAGTTGTGCTTATCGCCCTTAATAGTAATAAGATAGAGATTCAGCACTTAAAATACCAATACTAAACTCAAAAGTATTTTACAGCTTTAAGGAAATAGAAGAAAGGGTGGTTTCTAAATACATGCTTGTCAACACAGACTTGTCAGTCATTTTTGTCTTTGAGCTCTTTATCTTTCCATTTCATAGCATTTTTGGGCAGGGGAGAGGGGAGGTTTGCTGTGAAGAATCATTCCTGGCAAAAGAAAACCAACAAAATAAATCAGTGAATTCCTGATGACTAGTATTTCACCTATAGCTTCTATATGCTTGTCTTTGCTTAAATTTTTTGTTCCCATAGTTGGTATGTCCAGGAAAAGTGGAGTCTGCTCAAAAATCCCTGTATTTTTGAGAATCTATGGTGAACGTGCCTTTTATGAGAATAAAATATTATAAACAGTTATTTCCCCTTTCCTTTAGCGGACTTGAATATGATGCACAAGCAAAACGAAGATGCATATCATAATCCAGAGGCAAGACTATATGAAGATAAAAGGGCTATTGTATCTGTTGACCTAAGTTTGGCCTCCCCAAGACCTGAGAACACAGAAGCATCTACAAATAAAATAGCAGGTTTTTAAGAATACTGTATTACAGCTCTAATTATTTGTAGGTCTTAGTGATCAAAATTTGCTAGTTTCTTTACTCCTTTCTAGTAGTCCTATGATAGTGTTAGTGCTCTCTACCTGCGAAGTCAGTATCATGCTTCTTTCCCAAACTTCTTCATTGCTGTCACTGTGTGCACTGCAGATGTATTTTCTTATCTGTCTTGTCAGTAATGATAACTAATAACTGTTTTAGCACTGAACAGTCAGGGTCAGTATATTAGTTTTCCAGGTTCAATGTTATCTAATCCAATCTTCATACCTATTTGTTTTACTTTTAAATGACACAGTAAAATACAACTGTATAGTAGGAGAGAAGATGGAAATAAAAGGAGGAGGGGGGTCAGCAGGTGTATGATGTTACAGGTTAAGATGAAAGTGGTACAGTAACTAGGTTAACAAGCTCTAAAAAGTTAGAGGTAAATTGGGTACATATGCAGCCCTGTGCGCTGCCTCCAAGTTTTAGGGATTTTATTTTATTTTCCTATTTAAAAAGTAATGCATCTTGCTCTTCTTATGTTTTGTGAGACATCTAAATATGAGAGCTGTGGTACTCCAGACCTGTCCCTAGTCTGGGATGGGCAAAGGCCAGGATCGGTGGTGGTCTCCTCAAGTCAGCTTAGATGCTGCTTTTCTTTCTGCTGTCTGAACTGTTGCACTTCTATATAAAGAATTACATGGTATTTGGGGCATGGATCTACTTTGCACGATTGCAATTCCATGTCCTGACACTGGCTGTAGAATAAATTTTTTTTGTTCCTTCTCTCCCCCCTCTTGCTCTTTCTCCCTAATACAGTGTATATTTAACCGTTTAGTAAAAAGTGAAACAGGCAAGGCCAATAAAGTAATAATGCAGAATAGCAAAGAGCACCCTGATTAGATCACTTACTTTCGGATCAGGAGGTGGTGCAGATCAGTGATGGGAACTTTACAGGCTTGCATTTGATTAGTCAGGCAGTAAAGTGGCTTTGTGTAGGTTTTGGTGGTTTTGGTTGTTTGTTTTTTGTTTGGTTTGTTTGGTTTTGTGTTTGTTTTTTTGGGGGTTTGTTGGTTTTTGGTTTTTTTTTTTTTTAATACTACCCCATTGAAAGAGGAACTTGCAGGATAGTAGCTGGTACACAGTAAGTTCATTCCTTGATACCTTCCATAGTAACTTGTCCATCTTGTGTCTGTGCCTTTCAAATGGTATATAAACTTTATTCTGCTTTTTTGCATGGAATATATCCATGTGAAGTAAATCCATTCTGAAAGAGCCACATATAAATTTAGTTATATTTTGGAAGGATACAAACAGTGCTTCCATGTAAGGAAAAATAATACTAACTTCAAAGTGTACTCCTTGGTATGCAAGCACATGCTCCTAAAGCTAGGCTGTAGCAGCAAATGTGTGCATTCCTATGGGGATAAGCATATGTGTTATTTCTGCTTTCATCTGACTTGGGTGGTACATCAACATACAGGGAAATGTAAGGGAGGAACGTAAGAACAGCTACAGCTGTGTTCATCTGAGCTCGGTGGAGCTAAGGCTCTTGCACATCCTTGAGGCACTGTCCTTTGGAGCAGACATGATATGAATGAAGAACATGCTGTGTCAGCTGAAAAGTTAACACAACTTACTCTACTTTTCCTTTACTTCCTTTCTCCTCTGCTTCCTGTAGGGATCCTGTTCTGCAAAACCTGTTCTGTGTGGTATCTGAGTTAATCCTCCTATGTAGAGATTTTGGGACTGTATGGTTAGAATGCATTCGTAACTCAGGACTAAAGGAGACCTGATACTTCAAACTTCAGAGTATGGAAAGCACCTTATACTGGCAGCATTCAATTTTCTGACTGCTTAGAATTTTATTTGCCAGTCTTGGGTGTTGGTTTTTGTAGCATCCATTGCTGTTTTACCTAAATATTTGTTCTGTTAGGATGTTCTGTTTTTAAAGAGTGAATAAATGGAAGAAACAGAACTATGTGTGCTAAGTCAGAGTAATTGCAAGCAGTAAAGTTATGAGATGTAAAATCTTTGCTATTCTAATTAACTTACAGGTAACATTTTTAGATACTGAGCTGCAGACTGGCCAGTAGAATGTATGACTTTTATAGGTGTTACTTTGTAAAAAGACAACTCACTTGGACATTATTAATTGAGCAGTTAAAACCTGACAGCATTCTAGGCAGACAACATAAGAACTTTTAATCCTAGCTATTGTTTTCAGCTATAGCTTTGAATTATGGCTGTCTAAAAACTACCTTCTGAAACCAGTGTCTCAGATTCCTACTTCTTCACTCTGGCTTCCTCTCTTAAATTTGCTTTGATTTTTATTTGTAACTTCCCCCCCTTTTAGGTTTTACATTTGCACAGACCTCTCCTTTTGCTCGAGGTAATGTTTTCGGTGAACCACCATCTCCTCAGCATCTTAAGCGACAGGAGTCATACAAGAACTTTCTTCGTCTACAGGTGAATGTGCACACCAGTTATCATCTGATTAATTACATTTTAAAAAGAGGGATTATAGTCAAAGTAAATCATCACTGCTGACCAAAGACCTTACCTAATCATAGCCAGTTCTGTCCACAAGAGTTGTACTAACAGCTGCATGCTATTGAGTATCTCAGATTTTGCCTTATATAAGAAATGCTTATAAAAGTGATGCTACTAATAGTTGGCTTCATTAATCTAGATTCTGTCTTTTTTTTCTAAGTACAGCTCTCTGAATAAAATACTGAATTCTCAAACTGTGCATGCAGTACAAGTTTGCATACATAAATATGTAAAGAAACAAAGATGTTTGCCTTTGGAAGTCTATATGATACAAATGGATGTTCATCAGAATGAAATGGTGATCAGTGAGATAATAATAATGTAGTTATTTATTGATGGGTATATAAAACGTGATTGTTCTTCTACCAGCTTCTGTCTTCTGTCCATAATACTTTGCATAAATCTTATGCCACAAGAATTAAATATCAATTTAATTAAATAACAATATCAAGGAAGTCCTAGACAATTTAAGAGTATGAACATCATGTGGTAGTTTGATGTGGATCTCTTAAAAAGAAAAGATCAAAGTTTTTTCCCATGTATAGTGCTGCCAGAAAGAATAAAGAATGGGTAGACCTTTGGCTTCGGTAAGTCAGTGCTGTGTCTAAAAAATTTTATAATTGTGGAAAGGAAAAAGATAATTGCTATGTCTTTTTTTTTTTTTTTTTTTTTTGGTTTCCCATCTTCCATCATTTAATCAGTGAAGAAAAGTGTTATTCCAAAGTAGAGGAAGTGTTAGGAAATATTCAGGTTTTATTAGTAGCATTTATAACTAGTGTTCTTACTGGATCGTGGTTCCGTAAATAGTGGCCAAAAAGAAACAGTAAAATATCAGCTCATTTTAAAGGGATTCTGAAGCTGAATTGTAAGACTGGCCCTAGAATTCTCTCGGTTGCTCCATACATCTTTGACTGCGCAAGTAGGTACTGCAAAAGTCATAGAAGATTGTGATGGTAAATGTTGTTCATCAGATCATTGCTGGCTATTGACAGTTGAACACTTCTTTTCCTTATTTTCTAGATTGAAGAAAAGAGACGTAGGGAAGAAGCAGAGCGAGAAAAACTTAGAATGGAAGAAGAAAAAGAAGAAAAACGACTAGCTGAACAGAGGATGAGAATTCAAAAAGCATATGAAGATGAACAAGAAGAGAAAAGAAAGAAAGAGGAGGAGGTGTAGTATTTTGATACTTTGACTTTTTCCATCCTAAACTAACCCTTTGTAGTATTTGTCATCTAGATTAAGAAGGTAAACTGGGAAGTGTCCTGTGAATTGATCTTTGTTTTTAAATGAGTCTACATTAGCCAGAGGAGAGGTAGAAAATTGTCAGTATTAACCAGCATATTATTCTCACTATTTATGGTATACTGGCAACTTGAAGTATTGTTAATTCTTCTATGAAAAATTGTATAGTTTTATAATTGGCAGTGATGCTTCCCTTTCTAAAGGAAATTGTTTGTGAGGCCAATAAAAAGCTTTGTCAAATTGGTGAATTAAAAAAAAAAACACCAGCTTTTTTTTTGTTTTGTTTTGTTAGCCTCTTAAATCTCTCTCTCATGGAATTATTTGTATTGTGAATGTAGCTATACAGGAAGATTTCGTACAGCCTTTTTTTGAATTGGCCAGGGTATATCTTTGAGATAAGAATATTGCTTATTTTGGAAGAATGCTAAGCAAATCTAATGCATACTTTTTGTGGAGGTAAACTTGTGATTTAATTCAAACCCAAAAGCTTTGTTTATCAGGTTTGGAAAATTGAATGAATTTGCATAATTCAGAATCTCATAAATACTTGTAGGAAAAGGACACAAGGCCATCAGAGATGGAAAAATCTTTCAGTACCCTGCGGGAGTATGAAAGATCAGTTCAGGATGTAGGACTTCAAGATTTCTAAGACAGAACAGTTAGTTTATATTCTAGATTCTCTTCCCTAATATGAGCAAATTAGTTGGATGAGCCTTGTCTTCTGGATAATAGAGCTGGTCTACTATAGAGTAGGAAGCTAACTGGTATCATCACTTTTCACAGACACAAGACTAAAACTGAGACTGGATGATAATTTTCTCTGTGGGCTTGTGTTAGGGTGGTGCATGTTTGCAGTATGTTTTGTTTGAATCTGAATTTTTGGAAGTGACTCCTACAGTTTAGCCTTAACAGTAGCAGATCCGGGGACACAAACTTGTGTTTATTGAAGTTATTAGGAATTCTGTTAAATGCTGTTAGCAGAGCCAGGACTGCAGATGTTTAATATTTGCATGGCATAGTTTTTAATTTGAATGTTTGAAGTCAGCCTAATGAAATATGCTCTTCATTTCATACTAATCACTTTGTGTATTTTAACTTGTCAAAGAAAAACAAAGTGGAACTATAATAATATTAAGTCTTTTTTATGTACTAATAATGTTTATGTTACAGCGAAGATTGAAAAATAAAGAAATAATTCGATTAGATGAAGAGAGGCAAAAAGAGGCAGAAAAAAGAAGAAAAGAAAAAGCAGAAAAGCGAGATGAACAACTTAGACAATATTTTGAGAAAGAAAAGATGGAAGAGGAAAAGAAGATGGTATGCTTCAGTGACTTTCTAAGACACAAATACTTCTTCCTAACTTTTTAAAAGAACTGAGTTTTAAAGAAATTGCATGATTTCTTAGACCTCTACCTTCAGTGTTGTTCCCCTCTTAGTTTATCAAGCTATGGTACACTTAGCGCACGCACAGAGAACAGCTGATTGAAAAATCAGACGTACTACAGTAGGAACTTATCTTGCTGATCAAATTCACATTAAAATGATAGTAAAAACAAGATAAATACGAGCAAGCTGCGGTCTGTAGTTGATTTTTATATCTGCTGTGAAGTACCGTGGCCTGCTTTTGCTGAGGTCCAAATACAAATAAAAATAAAGTTATATAATTTAAAGGACTGTAGGACTGTTCATCTGTAACAATGATGTTCTGTGTAATTTAATTATTTTCCTTTGACCTGGATGATTTAAGAAGTCCATCACATAGAATTCTGATGGACAAAATCTAAGTAAAATACAGAACTGTTTATCTTCTAGAAATTTCTACATGTCATTTCTCTAAAATGCACAGGTACAATGGAAGTGTCTAGAGGAAAAAAAGATATGTAACTTAACCATAAATTTAAAAAACTACATCATAGAAAAAAAGGATTGAAATTACTGTAAGTAGAAAACAAAATCACATGAAATAATTTTGTAAGTAATTTTATGTGGTTAAGAGTTGAAAGCAAATTAAATAAAAAAAGAATTCAATTAAGATACAAAAAAGCGTTTTTCTGTCAAATTAAAAATATTAACAACATTGTTCCTGTCCAAAGTAATACTTCATTCAGAATCTATAGGAATGTAGTTTCAGTCTTGCTTTCCTCCTTGCAGTTTTCACGGCAGCCTTCTCCCATTGTTTCTGCTCTTCAGAACAAATCAAGAAAAGAAGAAAGGATTCCCTCTGCTGAGAGCCATATATCTTACTATGCACAAGTACGTTTTTTATAGTAAACTTTTACTGATTTAACACAGTACAGTGTATGAAATCCTATCAGGTTTTTAATGTTTGCCAGTTATTACTGGAATACCACAAATAACTGGAGACAGTCTTTCTATTAGCCACTCTTGTAGCTCTGAAATTTAATGTTCAACTTTATTCAAAGGATTGAAGAAATTTTTTTTGGGGTGTATTATTTTAATTTTTTTTCTGCATGCACAAGTTCTGTAGAGATGACCACCTCATTTTTGAGTATACATACTCTGTCCAGACCCCTACCAAGGGTCTAATGATCTCAAGGTTTAGGATAAGAAAGTTTACATCTGATCTAGCAACTCGTGTTCACTCAGAGAAGAACTTACCTCAGGCATGAAGTTTAATGTTGATTCCTAGCTACAGACATTATTGGTTTATCTTTATGTTTTTGAAGGTACAAAAAGATTGTAACTCCTAACGCACTTCACTTTCTTCTTTGCATCATGAATGAGTTACAGTAGTGGTCCTGAGACCACTCATCTCTTTCACTTGGTTTAATCTTCCCTGGGATAATTAAAAAAAAAAAAAAAATTTCTCCTGTGAAGAGTAGATTAAATAATTGTCTAGGATATTTGAATCTCAGGCTACACTTCCAACCTTTTATTGGAAATTTTTTTTTACCAACTATCTGTATGAACTGGGCTAAAAATTTAAAAAATGAATTTGCCATGAAAATGATAATTTGGCAAAATACTTTATAGTGCAGTTTCAGAAAACGTTTTAAGAAAGACCTTAAACCTTTTTTAGAAGTGTTGCTTTCCCTAGATGTCAAGAATGCTCTGGGGGAAGGTCAGTTTATTTCTGTGTCTTTGCAGTACTTGGTGTAGCTTTGTCTTGATCTCTGTGTAGTGCATTATAGGTATTACCATAGTCGTTTGGATTATACATTTAAAGATCAGATTTTAAAAAAACCTTAGGCATTAACAACCTGGAAGGTTACTATTCTGTCTTCCAGTAGTAGTGGTAGTGAATGTAAATTGGACATAAAATAAGGAAATAAAATGTACATATGTCTGCTATATTTTCTTCCTTTGACATATTAACATTTCATATCCATTATGATCACTAGGATCCTCCACAACCAAGGGTTCCTTCTCCACCTGTTCCTGCTAGAAGAAATCAGTTGCGTGCATTTGGTAGGTATCGTCTTTATTGCAAGCTCACTTTCTATTACAACGCAATTGTTTTCAGTTACAGTTCTCTTCCTTGCCTGCAAAGGAACAGTCTTACAAAGTTTGCATTTCTATGTCGGTGTTCTCTCTGTCTTAGTATTATCAGCGTATTAGTATGGTATGTCTGAAGTATTAATACAAAATAAAAATGCATTTATTATGTGTCTTCATCAGCAAATTTTTTTTTTTGTAAAAACTCTGGTAATGGAGTAGTCTGCATGGGAAGTGCTGGATCTTTCAGTCAGGACAGTAGTGACCACTGTGACCAGAACATTGCAAAATGGGAGAGTTTTGGATTGGCCGAGTAGTGGATTAGACCAACAATGTGTGTAGAACGTTGCAGTCCTAACTCTTAAATTCTACTTTCCGTTGTTAATCTGACTAATTCTCTGCTTGTTCCTCTTAGCTTTCACTGGTGGTTTTAAAATTCAGACATGCTGGAAGGATCTCCTTTGCTCTTTATATGTTAGTTGTCTTGGCAATATGTGGGTGGAAAGCAGTAATTTTTCTTCTGATTCTTTTTTAAAAGCATAAAAGAAACATGTGGAATGTAACAGTAAATTATGTCCTACAAATGCGAACCCCTAGCAGTCAGTACCTGGGTCCATTCTGGGAGTTATGGCTCTTCCACTAAATGGAAGGCAGAGTGGTTCTTAATGCAGCTCTTAGAAATCGATTGACTCAAACCATCTGTCATGAGAGAAATAAAGACATATGAATTAAATCTTGTGTTTGAGGATTTAAGCCAGTAAAACTTGCTTGCCTGCTAGGTTTTGGACTCAGACTACAGGTCAGTAAAATATCAAATTATTAAGCATGTTATTTGGAAAATAAAGAATTTATAAAACTGTTTTAACTTGTGGAGGAATGCTGTCCTGACCACAAAAACCAGCTTAGACCCAAAGTAGGTCTAAAAAGTCAACATAAGCACATACTAAAAATAAGTGTTGAAGTTGGAACTCTTGTTCACTTAAGAGAGTCTGCACTGAGCAGACAGATATCCTACTTTTGAGTCAGGAAACAGAAATGAGGTTGTGTGCTTGCTGATACCACCTCAAATCCTGTCATCTGCTTTTGAGACTCTGAGGACTGTGTAGATTTGCTGATTTCAAAATAAGGCTATTTACCGGCAGCACCCACTTGCTGGTATTTCATAGCTTTTCCTTTTTTAAATACAGTGAAACATTTCCATTGAAGTTAGGATGCTTTCTGCTGTTCAGGGGATCTGGTCCTTGTGCTGTCTTAAAATACAAGCTCTGACCTAATTTCTAGTGTATGAAATGTTGCGATTCTTGTGTATAATCCTTGTTTTAATTAACTGTTCATTATTGCTTTCTCTTTTTTCACCTTACAATTATGAGGCAGGCAGAAAAGTGTCTCTGACACACTCTATTTTTAAATTACTTGTGTTAAATTCTAGAGGAAAGAAAGAATGTGATAAATGAATTATCAGAGATGAGGAAACAGCTTCGTAGTGAAGAGAGGCGGCTGCAGGAACAGTTGCTAAATGTGGTCAGTGATGACGATGTACCGATTACACGGTAAGAATTCAATGTTCAGTTTTAGAAGTTAGATTTTGCACAGGAACTCAAAGCTGCTGTGTATTAGTTAGTATTAGTTGGCTACTATACATGAGTGAAATGAAAATAAAAAGATAGAACTTGTATATAAAATTTTCTTCATTTTTTCTAATGTGTATGGGGTTTTTCCAAGAATCTCACTGAAGTTTAGTGTAAGAGTGGCTGTACTGGCAAGATTGGAAGTTGCCATACTCTGTCTTGGAGAGTGGTCCAAAGCAGATGTCTAAGAATGAATTTTGTCTCATTACCTTTTTTCCTAAGGCATAATTTGTGCCTGTAAACTGCAGTACTACTGCTGATGAATATGCTTATGAATAGCATACTGCTGTGGAAGTACTTTCTTTCTTATTCAAAATCATACCCTTTTTATTTAAAAAAAATTGTTTACTTTCAAAATTTATTAGTTAATCATACCAATTAGTTGGAAAGACTCATCAGATCATCAGTCTTAGTTCCACTCCATAAAGTCTGAGGGTTTATTTTGATTTTAAGTAGGTTATCCCTTTTTATAACACAATATGCAGTGTCATTACTTTCAAATTTATTTTCCTGTTTTGATAGCTTTATTTAAGGATAAAACGATATGAGCTTTATCAATATCATATTTCCATCCAACTCATTAATATTACAGTGTTAAATTATATTCTGCTTCTTTTACAAACTTTTCAAGTGGGAGGAGAGAGAAGAATCCAAAGGACGTATTTGAGATGGCCAGGCTTCGTCTTCAGGCTCCAGTAAGGCGGCCTTCATCAAAGGAGGCACAAGATCCCGTCAATATACAGAATATCTGGGAATTTAATGAACTTAAATACAAAGGCAGGTAGCTCTTCTTGTTATTGAAGAAAGGTAGTGAAACATCTCGTCTTTTCCTCTGTCTTCCATGCTACCCAGGATTTAAAGGCAGAAATAAAAAAATCAAACTCTTCACAGCTCCTGCCCATACACAACATACTCTGTGGACAGCATTTTGCATATGTACAGTGCATATATCCCTCTGTGTGCCCATTTCTACAAGTACACACAATGCACGGTACTGTAATGCTGAGTTATCACTCAGGGCACTCACCTAGCTTCTAGTCCTTACTGCTTTAAACTTCCTATGCATTTGATATTATGATGTTACTGAAAGTAGACTGAATTTGATTTTTTTTTACCCACCAAGAAATTATGATTCTGTGTAACTTTCTGTTTCTCCTTTACCAGAAAACACATTTTTTAATATAGTGAAATTGTAAAATCATTGCTAAAGCAGCTCATCCTCTTGGCCATTGTCACCATTATTTCTAATGTTGTTTATGACTTTGTATCTCTAGCTAGTTCTTTAGAAATGTTTTTCAGAAACATTGGCTTAGGGAAAAATTTAAATTTCACCTCTTTGCTCTAGATTCTGAAACGCGTATGGGCTTGAGGCACATGTATCCTGATCCTCCAAGAGACGACCAGACTCTAGAGATTCAACAGCAGGCACTGTTGAGGGAGCAGCAGAAAAAACTTGATAGAATGAGAATGAGGAGAGAAACAGAAGGTAAGGAATGAATGGTCCGAGATAATTTCAATGATTTTTGTTTATTTGTTTTGTATTTGATAAGAATTAAAAAACACGAGCTCTAGTTTTACTTCTTTCAAATTCAATGTCAGCACTGTAGTACAAAACAGTAAAACACCAGTACGCTGAAATTCTGTCATAATGTAAAGCATAAAAAAAAAGAATGCCTTTTTAATTACTGTGACTGTTTCTCTTTGGTTCCCTGAAAGTAATTTAACTAGTGCTTCCTAATTCAGAAAAATGCAAGAGAAAAGTAGTTTGGTTACTGTTTCTTAAAGAAAACTACAGAGCAGTAAAAATCCTCAGCTGATATGTGATAAAAGCATTAGCAGGTAAGTTCCTTGTGGCATTTCTTCAGTTCTCACTGAGGAAGTAAATTGCTTTGAACTGTGAATTGGTTGAAATGCAGTCAGAGTGTCTTCACCTTGGTGTCCTTTTAATTGATTAAATTTCCTTTATTTCCATAGTCTTGGGTTGACTATTTCAAAGTTTCAGAAATCTGTATCCATAAACAGGCTTTGCTTTAGAAACCACATGTAATATGTAACTAGTTTGAGGTTCCAGAATGAAAATGTTGCTTGTATTGCTCAATAGCTATCATCCTAATACTGTAAAATATTAACATCCTACCATAGTAAAATATTTTGTCTGCATATTGCAGCAGCAGTGAAAAGTAAATGTAATGCCCCTTTTTTGCACGCTGCACTTAATTGCAAATGTAATGTTCATTTAGATATCTTTTATGAACAGTCATGAAAGAGCAGTATCTCAAGTTATTTTAGACATTATTTAAAAATATCTTGGAAGTTGCTTCAACCTTTCCAAAAGTTACAGTTGCAACTGTACAAATGAACTCAGTTTTGAGTGCAAGATACAAATTTCTCAGAAAAGTGTTTCCCTCTGTAATTCAGACTGGCCTAACTAAATTTTTGAAGAGAAAGTAACTTTATTTCCGTGGTGGCTTAGCCTTGGCTAGCAGCCAAACTCCCACCCAGCTGCTCACGGGTTCACGTCCCCTCACTCATGCCCCTTGGCAAGACAGTAGACGAAATGGGACAAATAAAGCTTGTTGGCTGAGATACAGACAGGGAGATTGCTTACCAATTGCTGTTGCAGGCAAAACAGACTCAACTTGGGGAAAATTAACCTAATAATTATCAATTTAAATATTTAATTACTGATTTTTGAGTAGTGGAAAACAAAAAGACAAATGTCAAAACTACACCTTTTCTGCCCCCTTCCCCATGCCCAACTTCACTCCTTCACTCCCAATGCTCCCCTTCCACCCCAGGTTACGCTCAGTCCCTTTGATGACACGATGAGTGGTGTCAGGCTGGTGGTGGTGGGAATTACAGTCAATACACAGTGGTTTCTCTGTGCTCCTGCTGTCTTCTTGTACCTTTCCATCTGCTCCACCATGGTCTCCTCCAGGGGCTGCAAGGGAATCTCTGCTCCGGCACCTGGAGCACCTCCTTTCCCTCCTTCTCTGACCTTGGTGTCTGCAGGGCTGCTTCTCACACTTTTGTCCTCGCTCCTCACTGCTGTGCTTTGTTTCGCCCTTTCTTAAATATCATAGAATCACAGAATCATAGAATGCTGTGGGTTGGAAGGGACCTTTAGAGG